TGACTAGATATTGGTGACACGCTTAACGTGACATTCAATTCAAAAGCTTGTGTCATCATATTACCTAATGTTTAATATGCCTTACATTATTATGCAAAAAATAAGAAGTCTTGATGTGGAGGACTAAAGAGGAAGCCTTTGTTTTAGCAGTGGACGTTTTCCGAGTAGATTAACTAGACGATGCTTTCAATTACAGCCGATTATGACTGAGAATTTTAAAACTCTGTAAAAACAAACAAAGTAATTATTCTTCTGAATGTTAAAAGTTTTGCGTTGTTCAAACTAGCTTGGCGCTATCTACCTAGTGCAGTTCATCTATTTCTAGGCTCCAAAGTTTTAAACGACAAACAAGTAACCAGACGAAAGTACACTCCTTTTAATTAACATCGTCCCTACCTACAAATTCAGTCTGTACGACTACTTAGAATTCTACAGTGTAGTAGAAGTACGTAGCTACAGTACAAGGGAGTGGCGATCCATTTTTGCGTCAGCTTGTAAGTCTCGACGGCCGGGTGACCGACCTCCATTGTTCCAACCGTTCTAACTCAAAGAGATGTCAACAGCCCGTAAATTACTAATTTGATACGAAGCCTCGGCACTCCGCTCCGCTAAACGTCTTTCACCGTCTCCGAGCTCTCACAACTTAGAAGTGGGCCTGTTTGGCTCCATTACTCTCAATTTAGACCGTAATTGCTACGCCCCGTGTTATTTGTAGCAAATTGACACCAAACTTTGTACACAATAGGCTTAAATAGAAACTGAAGGTGTTTTCCATTAATATTGTTTAGATTTTTAGATCAATTGCAATTTGTAAGTAACTGGTTACTCGTTTGTATAGTGTAGTAACATTCCTAAGGCGTTTATGGAACCTCATGAATTTTAGCATTCCAATAATATTTTAGATATAATTAAACTCTCCACCACTCATGTGTATGTATCCACAGTGGTTAAGTTCTCAGCAGATTTTCATACAATTTATATTAAATAGGAGTTTGCGAACCGTTTTCGGGGAAACTTTGGGTGGTAATCGAGTCGCGTGTATGGTAGCCGTCTAGACGGTGCTATTTTATATTCAATGCACACGATTCCGAAGAAGATGTTTATTGTTGTGTCTGAATTAAAAACTGATTCGGCAATATGCAAGATCATAAATATTTTGAAGTCTATGCGATAAAAATCGTATCGAACCATCGTGGATGGACTGGTTAACGAACTTGCGAACTAAACGCGTTTTATTAAACGGTATTGTTATTGCAACAAGGCGTTACAATTGATTCGATCCAATTCCTTGTGTTCCGAGCGGTTTTGTAAATTGTATTCGTACTGCTAATGAGTTTGATATACATAAATCTACTAACGTAAAACGTTGTACCGGTATGTTGTGTTATTTGGTAACCAACTGTTAAAGCACATTCGGTCTCAGTTTAAGCAGTAGACATAACAATTTCATATTGTTGTAGTCGCAACTTGATATTATAGCGAACAAAAGTTAAAGTATAAAATAAATAACTATGCTTACAACGTATTGTCAGTCATCAGTTTGGCTTTTTTTTTTTGCATCATACTTTGGCATATTTTTTTTTTTTTTTTTTTTTTTTTTTTAAGGGGGGAAAATCATCGAATGACTGCTCCCGCCTGGGTGAGGCGGAAGGGAGTGTCAGACTCTTACTGACTAAAAACCACCCCGTTCCTTCTCCTGCACGTCGAGCCGGAGCCCCGGTTACCCGTTAGGTTCTCCGCGACTCCGAATCGGCATCGGCCCTATTGGGCCCCATCTGTGGTGGTCTGATGGCTCTTTGAGGCGCGCGCGGAACGCGACGCGCCGTACGCTCGGGTCTGTTTCTGGTCGGACGGGGAGCCACCCATGCTCGCCGTCCGCAGGCCCGCGCTTACGGTGGCCGGAGATCGTCCCGCGATCCCCGACGCCCGGTGTGTCCTTCGCGATGGCTGGGTTGCGAGGAGGCAGCGCTTCGCTGCCTCACGCGTCCCGCCTCCTCCTTAGCTAGCATGACTGCTTCGCAAAAGGAGGAGACGGCATCCCAGTCCCCCTCGCTCCGCATCATGGCCTGCACTAGGCCCGGACGCGAGAGGTCGCCATCGCCGATCACTTCCCTGAGGGCACGGCGGTGCTCAGCCCACGCAGGGCATTCCGCTACGGTGTGTTCCACCGTGTCCTCAGGGCGGCCCTCGCAGTGATGACACCCGGGCGTTTCCTCCCGCCCCATCAGACACAGGTACCTCCCGAAACTTCCATGTCCGGTGAGGACCTGCGTCAGGCGGTAGGTGAGGACGCCGTAGCGTCTCTCAAGCCACTCCTCAAAGAGGGGACTTACCGCTGCAATGGCAGCGAGCCCAATACTTTGGCATATAGATTCAGATTACTACACGGTACATTAGTGATGTATGGGTATAAAAAACTAAGATAGGCAAAGTTTGTCTTTAAAATATTCTGTTTCTATGCTCCAAACATAGATTTTATATTGCGATTATGTACCGTCCGTCTTAATATTTCCCAGTAAGTATACAGAATAATTAAATTACGCTTTGAAAGCAAATAGCAACATAATTAATAGTTTTCCTGTTTGCAGGAAACTGAAATTATTTTAATAATAAAATCAATTTAGAAAATTTAATAAACAATTTATCTCAAAGAGCCATCAGACCACCACAGATGGGGCCCAATAGGGCCGATGCCGATTCGGAGTCGCGGAGAACCTAACGGGTAACCGGGGCTCCGGCTCGACGTGCAGGAGAAGGAACGGGGTGGTTTTTAGTCAGTAAGAGTCTGACACTCCCTTCCGCCTCACCCAGGCGGGAGCAGTCATTCGATGATTTTCCCCCCTTAAAAAAAAAAAACATTTGGATGATTTTTTTGTGTATTGGTTTCGTTGTTAACGTCATTTGCACGTTTTGTTCACATAATATTTCAATGACATGCATTTTTTTTCTTCTTGGCAGTAGTCAATGTTTAGAGACTTTCTTATTATAAATAGGAAAATACACTGTAACAGATGAGTGACTTACCAAAAAATTTTAAAGTATCGTAATTTGTAAAGAGATAAAAATAGCACCTACCTAATACTTATTTTATTTTCGCAGTAAATCTTTCCGGTCATTTACATTTCTTTTTTTGTAATTTATTTAAATTCAGATTTGAATACGAAATATCGTATAATAACAATAATGAATATGTTTATTAATTCCACATCAGGTTTGAAATAAGAACTTTGTAGAAAGAAGTCTAAAGTTCCGTTAAATATTCATTATCATTAATTTAAAATTTATCGAACGCCTAGTTGCCAGTGGGTTACTGTTGGTTTAACAAACGGTATATTTTTTTTTTCTTGTAATGGATGTACTTTACTAGATTAACAGTTATTAAGATTTCACTCTTAGGAAGAATCACGACTATACATACACGTCCCAGCCCAACCTCAGCGCCCAGCGCGTTATAATTATGAGGAAAAAAGTTTTGTTTTGGCTTGACTGACTGGGAAATACCACTACTAGTGTAAAAATAACAAGGAAAAAATATGTGTGTATGCATAATACACATTTTAAATTTAAATTTGAACCTAATTAAAATTATTATTATAGGTATAACCAGAGAATACTTAAAAAAATACAGAAAAATTGAAAACCCTAAATAATACTTTGGCCTTCCCGGGTATTGTACCCTTGACCCTTTACTCGGCATTTTATACCCCAAAGGTTAGATAATACCCAATCAAAACATGTAATTAGGTACTAACTAATTAAAGAGGAATGAATGTAACGTTATTCAATAGTTGTAATAGAAGTGGACATGCCTTTATTGTGTTTTGTATGACGATTGTATTAATGATATTGTTAATGGGATCCATCAGTCCATTGACTCATTTTCTATTCATCCATTTTCACGTGACACTACCTGCACTCATAAATATTATAAATTTATAATTACCGTTGTAGGTAACCTGTCACTGGTTAAAAGTACTAGTTTCTCCGCTTGTTATGAATCGGTAAAAATATTTTTGATATCTAATTAATAATAATTAATTACCTGTGGGAAAACAACATTGATATTCTGTTACTAAATATATTAGTGACGTTAAAATGAAGTAGGAACTTTGATTTATGAATTGATAATAACGGTCCACTGTGCAAGTACGGAATAATAACAAATCTTATTGTCTCGTCATTTCTAACAAACTAGTGACGTATTCGAGGGTTGATTTATAATCAAGACGTTTCGCTTTTTGGTAGCTAATGTATACTAGTTTAAACAGAAACCCGTTCACTATACTTCCGTCCGTGAGATCTAATGACTCGTCGCTGATCCAATTGAAGAATCGCAGAGAGATTTATTGTAACCTAGATTAGAATATGGTTATGGGCATTTAATATTATAATTTTAGAAAAAACTTTGAAAGATGCATTCATTAGAGTATGAAGAGAATACTTAATCAACCGGTACACATCTTTGATTACCAAGCATTGGTTATACTAGATTTTTACAATATCCTCGAGTATTACCGAAACTTGTGTTTTTTTTATTAGCGTTACTAATGAACAACAACATCATGACCAATATGTCGTCGTGGGTAATGTAAGAGTTATTATTTCTGCCGATAAACCACGGCGACAGGTTGCGCCATGATTCACTGGGCATGAACTGGTGACGCAACGTAACAGTCGGGTGCAGTGCCAACCGTGCATCATTGTCACTGACACACCTATTCGATACTACTGCAACTAATTAACAGATGTTATATCGTTCATTGTCAGAGGAGATCACTGCTTTCTGTTAAATAACCTGGTGTTTGTTAGTAAGTGACCTGAGAGGTTACGACTTACGAGACACGAGGCAATGTGCCGTCAACTTTTGTAGGGAGCTTTACCCTGGGATTTCCAATAATTAATTCAGTTCGAATCGATTTTATTTCTCACAGACTTACCATTGCTCTACTTTGTTATCGTTTAAAAAGTGTAAATATGACATTAGCTTCGTTTCTTTGCAGGGGGATGGTCTCGAGTGTCCGCTATGCCTGTCGGTGTTCAACTCGACTGCAATGGAGCGGCTCGCGTGGTGCTCGCACCGATGCTGCGAGCCCTGCTTACGACAATACCTTGCTATCGAGATCTTCGAGGCGAGGGTCCCAGTTAATTGCCCAGTTTGCCACGAGAGCATGCACCCCTCAGGTAACTTCAAATTTTAGAGAACTAGATTTTGACATAATAACTATTTATTTATAGAAACAGATATAACATTAACAAGCTCTGTATAACAGAGTTTACGTGCCACGCTGCCTCTATAAGCCCGGAACCGGGTTTCGACTATAAATATTGATATCCAATTTGAATTGTGTAATAAATACACCAATTGGCCTTAATTTACTAGTGGCGCCTTTAAAATGCAAATTACTTTCATTATCTAACGCGTATCGACCTCTTTACATAGCTAAGTAAAGATTTATCTGAATGTATCGTTTGTATGCATGTTTTATGTGTACCTTACATAAATATCTACCAAATGACCGAATTATTCAAAGAATTTACATTCATCATCTCAATTCCTTTTAACATTGTAAGTCTACAGAAGTAGGGAAATGAATTTAGTAACTTTGTTCCTCGGTTTGCGGCTTCCAATAAAACCACCGCAATATAAGTTGTTGCCACTAATTCGAATAGTTTGTCTTGCCGAGTTTCAACGCCATTGCTTACAAACTTTGGAAATCAGAGTTTGTACTCTGTAACAGGATTAGTACACCGTCACATAAGCTTATAATTAATAGATTGTATGCTTAGGCCTCCCGAATCAGTTATAGCCAATCTATCTCAATATACGTATGTAAATATACCTTATGTATGTATGTGTACTGCTGACCGGTTTCATTAACCACTCATATTGTCATCGTAAACGTTTTTCCTCTGCTCTGACGTCAAAGTAGAGTAGTTAAGTATTCAAACGGAGGCATACAGCTGTGAGGCGCGTTAATTGAAATTCTAGTGTACATACCCAGATTATTCTAGGATTTAATTTTATAAACAGGTCGTAATATTCATGTAATTCTTATTACGATTTAACAATAGCTGAGTAAAGTCATATATTATTTTGTTTTGCCATTCTACTGCGTCGAAGAACATTCGGGAGAATAAAAAAATATGCGCTAGTTGATTCTCAAATTATTCCGAAATAGTACTAATGGTTCATTTTAAATGTGAACAGTCTTTTCACATCCGTAAACATGGCTTTTATTTCCCGGTAGTACTGTCATGTTACTTCTACCATTTACCTACCACTATCACAAAAAGCTGGTGACACACGAGTGGATGCCTACATTTATCATACAACAGTTACGTTGAATAACTGTTCTGAGAACGATAAAAAATATAATTATAGGAACTGTTAAGGCAAAAGCTGACGAGTCATAAAAAGTATTTCTGTGTCAAGTGAGTGTCGCAAGAGATGTATTTAATACAGTAATTGCTCAATGTGTAGCACTGTGGGTAATACTTGAACTTAACGTACACTTACACACACAGAGAACAACACAATGCGTGATTTTCCTTATTCAAAAACACACTTGCACCACATTCATCGTATTTTTAAAATGAACAGGTTTTTTTTTTATAATACTAGTAAATAAAAGAACGAATCGAATTCGAGTGTCCACTCCAGCACACTTGTTAGTTCGATTGAGTAAATAAAATGTCATCATTATGTATTTGATTTCCTCGCGACTTTATTTTTCTTAAGAACAAGCAGGTACTGACGTTTTCTGTCTTCCTGAATGGAAAATTTTAACATAAGATTGTAAATACACGTATGTATGTATAGCACACGTGCTCGATAGCAAAAGGTCGCTCGTTATAGGGATTGCGAGATTTGCGAGGGATCATAAATGGGATCAATAACGTAACTAGCGACAAGATGATACAAGATACCAACTCTAAATATAAAACTAATGGGACGATGTCATGTATGTACTTGTACCATATTTTTTTGATACAATGTACAAAAAATGAATGAACTACCCTATTGAGGGTAATGTTTGCTCAAAAGACCCAGCCGTAACGATTCTCGACACAAGGACATGTTTACTGCTACACCCGATACACCCACGCGTATTTCCTTTTCGTAGAAACTCCAATATTTTAATTGTTACTCATTTTTGGTTTCCTATTTCAACTGGTTTCAATGGCTTTTGATGAAGTGCCATAAAAATGGTAGACGCGCAGTTTTATGGACCAACTTACACAGCACGGAGTGTTTACTGGCTCGAGTAGGAAACTTACTTCAAAAGTAATTATGGGGCTTTAAGTTGTTCGACTTTGCGGTGACTTTAAATTTAAGAGGGTTGGAGCTCTATTCATATAAAGTTAATTCGATGTGATAAGGCTTCTGGCAAAGACAGCGACTTTATAATGCTCGCCCTTGATATTCCCCTTAGGTAGGGAGACGTCTAGTACACTCTGTCAGTTATATTATTAATTCTGTGTAATGGGGACGAGTCGCGGAGAATTCGCAGTAAAATGTATTACTTGATCAAACCCTATCAGAACAGTTCCCAGAAATAACGGAAATCGATAGAGTCTCCGTCCCAGAGAATTCTGCGATCTCGGGTATTTGATATTGTGGTACATTTAATTTCAATGTACTTTCGTAAATCCATGGGTAGTAGAAGTATCTCTATGTTTGCAATAATACAACCGATGGACGTATTTTTGTTGTTTTCTGATAAGCACAACTGTTGCTTTTTGTATTTTGTCTTTATTGTCTTAGGCGATCAAGGCGTTTTATTACTTTACAATCTATTTTATGAGAATAACAGAACATATTTATTCTAGTAGTTAATCTGATGAGACCACTGTGTACCTTCTACACGGCATAATTAACAAATCAAGACCGCTCAATACTCCGTAATTATCATGATATCTAATTATCTAGTTATCTACCATGCGATCGTAAAGCGTGACGTATGACATAACAAGACTTCCTTGTCAACCACCTAGTATAGTAATAACATTTTACGGTACATGTCGATGTATTTATTAGTGTATTATTTTACTTGTATATGGCAGCATCTTATCGGTCCATAACCTTCCTGTCTCCATTCGCTTGTATTGTTCTGTATAAAAATCTACATTAGGTAAAAATACTGAGATAGTGTCCAATGTGTTCAATATAGCGGCACTTTTTCTCGCCCTTCCCTTCATCCAAGTTACTTGGTCTTCCACAAGTATCTTTAGTCCACAAGTAACAAGTCAGTGTCAGTTTGATGACTGACTAAGGAACACGTAGTGTTCTTACACTTTCCCTTTCCTTTCACATCGTTCCCCCTACAGTTTATTTTTTTAGTATAGTTACCTAAAAAAAACATACAGCCGAATTGATAACCTCCTAGTTTTTGGGAAGTCGGTTAAAAACATCTAATGTTTTATTTTAGACGTTCGTCGCATCGTAGACAACCCGGTGCTGTACGAGAAGTATGAAGAGTTCTCAGTGAGACGCGCGCTCGCCGCCGACCCTGACACACGGTGGTGCCCCGCGCCCGACTGCAGGTACATACATAGTTACAAACCTCACATCATGCCACTTCTTTTGGGGAAAACTTTGCAGTTTATGTAAAATATACAAAGGTACACTCCGTCACCTACATGATTAATTTGAACTTTAGCTTCACGTGCTGTCAAGCCACTGGGTCGATTCTACTGGTAGTGTTTTTCTGGCTTCTGCAATAATTGTACCTATAGTGGATAGGAAACTATTTATTTCCTGCTGCTTCAATGATATTTTCCAACTAATTTTGTTGTGATATCAAAGACCAACAATAAGCGTTGAAACAATAAAGTTCAGTGGCTATCCCCTGATACAGGATGTCCTTGCATCCTAGGCGTCTTGGTCTGAAGCAGATACAGTCCGGAGATTATTATGTATATTTAATTGAATGTTTGTAGTTTCGCGGTGGTGGCGACGGGCTGCGCGTCGTGTCCGAAGCTGACATGCCTGGCGCCGGGGTGCGGCGCGTCATTCTGCTACCACTGTAAGGCGGCGTGGCATCCCACGCAGACCTGCGACGCCGCGCGACGCAGCCGAGCGCCGCCGCCGCGGGCGCCGCAACCCTCGCATCCAGATATTGACCATGGTATGTCCACGAACATACAATTACTAATAAGTTCATAAGTACTTGTACCGTCAAAGAGAGAACCAGAAATGAGATCCGAAGTCTATTTTATAAATCAATCACTCCAAGCAAACTCATGAGGAAGAACCCCTCTGTGGTTCGAAACTAGTAGAGTTTAGTATGTCTCACGATAGTTATTATAAAAACAATTGAAAACTTGTCTAATTTGTAAAAGAAAACATTATTTATAGTAACAGTTAATTATGTACTTTCCAGGTGACGTGAAACCATGCCCCCGATGTTCCGTACTAATAGTGAAGGTAGAGGACGGCTCCTGCAACCACATGGTGTGTTGCGTCTGTGGCGCGGAGTTCTGTTGGCTGTGTATGAAGGAGGTTTCAGACTTACATTACTTGAGGTGAGCATTCAACTACTGATGAAATATTTATTTTGTTACCAACATACCAGATTGAAAAGTAATATTAACTGACGCTTTTGTTTACAGCCCTAGCGGATGTACATTCTGGGGAAAAAAGCCTTGGTCCCGGAAGAAAAAGTTGTTATGGCAGCTGGGCACGCTGGCGGGCGCGCCGCTGGGCATCGCGGTGGTGGCGGGCGTGGCGCTGCCGGCGCTGCTGGTGGGGCTGCCGCTGTGGGCGGGGCGGCGCGCGCACCGCCGCCTGCGCCGCGCGCCCGCCGCGCGCCGCCGCGCCGCCGTGGCCGCCGCCGTGGCCGCGGCGCTGCTGGTGTCGCCGCTAGTGGCGGGGCTGGCCGTGGGCATCGGCGTACCCATCCTGTTGTTCTACGTGTACGGCGTCGTGCCGGTGTCGCTGTGTCGCGCGGGGGGCTGCGCCGGCGGCCCGCCGCCCCCCGCCGCCGCGCACTTCGACGACGACCGCGACCACGCTCCCGACCAGGACGCCGCGTCACGACGACTTGAACCCAGCATAGGTAATTACCATTTAACATTATAACAGCAAAATTTTAAATATTACTAAATAATTAAACATCTTTTGAAGCAATCATCGCTGTAACGGCCGTCATTGCACTCGCCACTCATTTTCATTCATTGTACAAACTAAAATATGTAATCTATGGATGTCATCCATAGAGGTCCTTCTCTTGTCGATCTTGTCTCGCTAATATCAATATAAATAAGTAATGGTAATAAATTGTACACTAAAGATTTATGTACAATGTTCAATTCTATATGTAATACTTGCAGGTGACGCGTCTTTGTCAGCGGGGTCCCACCACGCGGAAGTCCGCGCGCCGTCGCTGGCGGCGCTGGCGGGGTCGCTGGGCGGGCACGAGACGCACTCGCCCGCCGCGCACAGACTGGAGGTGACGGCCGACGTGGCCGCGTCCGACACCGCCAGCGCGGCCAGCTGGCCCGACGACCTGCCCTCCACGTCGTCCCGCTCGGCGCGCCTGCGCAGCCTGTTCCTGTACGGGTCGGCCGTGCCGCCGCCCGACCCCGAGGCGGGCACGTCGGGCGGCGCGCCGCCCCCCGTGCCGCCGCACGCCGTGGAGCTGAGCGCGGCGTGCGAGACGCGGCCGCGCTGCGCCAGCCCGGGCGGCGCGGCCGTGCTGGCGGCGGGGGACGGCGCGTAACGAAGCGTCGCGTGGGATGCGTGGGCGGGGGTTGCCAAAGGTCGAGCTCGCTGTCCCGGCGCGCGCGCAGCGCCGACCCTCCTGTATTTTCGATTTGATTTATTGTACGACGATGTACGTCCGTAATACGTATTAGAAGTGCCGCGGTGCGCCGTTGTATTGTATTCGCACTTGTCCGTCCGGCGTAAGTCCTCATCCCGACTTTGATTTAAAGTTTTGTGCCAATCGCGTGTGATTATCTAGTACTTTGAAGCGACTCTGTGATTTAATTATTTGATAAATGTAGCGAGTTTTCGAAGTAAAATAATAACCGGAGTCCATGATAGCGATCCTGGGAGGTGGCAGTCCTAGATATACGATAGATGCTTCGCGCTTTCAGAGCAGTGTTACTCTATCCAATATTTGTGATACTTTGAATAATAATTACTATTAATGATCTAAATTATTTAATTTTTCACGTTTGTAGGCGAAAAATAATCTTAAGCGATAATAATTATGTTATGTGAATCTATAAAATGTAAACTACGATTAAAATGTGATTTAAATTTATTTCTTGATTTATTACTTCACTTCTCAAAACCTGCAACACCAAAAACCGGCTGTGACATATTGTTGGGTGCCCAAGATGAAATCGCCTATATGCAATTGGAAAGTGTGTATCACAATCATTTGGGCACTAGTTCTATAAAGGATTACACTTTAAAAAACTACCTCTGCCTGGCGTGGAAGTAAATTTTCCTCCTAAATGATCACTGTGGTGTACTTTGCGGTGCTCTAGCGCCAAATCTACTTATTTTATAAAAAAAACCTGAAATTGTAGAGACAAGTAAATAGTTTAATCTTGTAGACAATCTTGTACCGGAAAAGAGATATTGTAAAAAATCGGAAAAAGCACATAAAATCTAGAAAATTCCCAATTTCCCACATTCTTGGAAAACTATCGAGGTAACACTCCTATTACCGCCCTAATGATCGAACTATACCATGAAGCTTCATAGCTTCTTAATAAGATAGAATAATGGACACCAAAAATCGCATTACCTACCTACATGAAACCTTCTTGAAACTATGTGTCACTTTTATTACAAAGTATAGCCTAAACATAAGCCTGTCTAATGCTATTGTGAAAAGACTGTAGTGTCTATGAGGGGGATATCATCAACAGCCTATAAATGCCCACTGCTGAGCAAAGCCTCTTCTGACACGGAAAAGGTTAGAGCATTAATCACCACGCTTGCTCAATGTGGGTTGGCGATTTCAAACTTATAATTAGAAATTATGCAGAGGTTTCCTCACGATGTTTTCCCTTCACCGTTTGTCAGTGGTGTCTAAATAATCTGAGAAAGTACATATAACTCGGAAAAAGTCACATTGGTACTTGCCGTTGGTAGGTTTCGAACCCGCACCCTCATGCATGAGAAGCAGGCGTCTTAAACCTCCGAGCCACCACGAAACGAGGAGGATATAAATATGATAAAAAAACACAAATTATTTGCTTGATTATTTATTAACTCATCAACTACTGTAAAGTAATCTCTTGCCTACAACCGTAAGTAGACAACGTGGAAAATATTGACAAACAAACTGATACATATTTTTTAAAACATCAACATTTGATTATAACATTATTGGGAGCTCCACCGCACCGAGAAGAATTGAAACATTTACTAAATGACAGTTACAAATGATTACATAATATCACTTACAGATTTATATGGTACATTGTTTGGTTACATTTTTGTATAGCGACAGAAAACGTCCAAGCACAATGTAGGTATTCTTAAAACTTGGGTAACACATGACACTGCTTGACCGTAATGTATCGCGGGAGCTTTAGGACTTAGGCAAACCGGATACGTATGCGTATGCGTATGAATAAACGTAGACGTGTACGTACACGCGGTTACAAACCAAGCTATACAAACAGGGGCGTAGCTACCGCCTTATCTGCCGTATTAATTATACGGGGTCCCCAGGTCACAGGGGGTCCCCAACGTGCGTAAGCAAACATAATAAAAATTTAAAACCAGTTTATTATAGTTACACTTCCTATGATCTTTCCGCACATTCGACGTTTAGGTTATACTGGTTTTTTAACTCTACCGCTGAAATATCAAACGCCACTCAATTTTAAGGCGCGCTTAAGTATAATTCTGTCTCTACAAATTCTTTGTAAAATGACAGAGACGGTACGATATTTAAGTATAACTTTAAACCTAGTAGCATTTCAGTATTCCGGCGTAAATGTTGCTGTGTGTACTACAGACTTGTAATATAATATGTAACTGTACCTGAACACACATGTCTACGCCACATGCGGTGTGTCCTGTCCCTTATAATAGGATAGATGACTAATTTTTAATTGAACGTCAGTCTGGTAGATTATGTAAAAATATTAGACACGTATTTTTAATTATCTTACGGAAACAACTTACTTTCGGCGATATATTGATTTGAAATATCACGTGACGTCACTTTTGTGTACGTTTTATACTCAAAAATGACGTAGCTAGCTCCCACTCCTAAACTTTGATTCGTTTTATCTAAGTATTATTTTCTCATACGACAAATTAAAAACAAAAACGTGTTCAATATTTTTCCCTTACCTAACTGACGGGCAAATTAATTTTTTTAATTTTCATACCCTGTCATCATCTAGGGACAGCACATGTGTACCCGGTCTGCTCGAGCCTCTACCACCAATGATAACTATTATAATCTTAGTACTATAGACACCATTACAACACGTTTTTTATTCTTTCAAAGAAACTGCACTGATAACACAGATAACATATTTAAGATCTATCATAGATTCAACTGAACGCCTATTTTTTTTATAATTAATATAAAATTTATATTTAAAGTTATAATGTGTTAACAATGTGTGGAATGTTAAAAAATGTAAAATGTCTAAGACGCAACCGTATTGTGAATGTGATATACCAAAATAGGCCAAATAACAAATATTTTGTGTGGACACAGTGGACCTCTGTCTATATCTGAATATCTTATATTCATTTGATTCAACTGAATTTAGTATCACATACATTCCACATAAAGTGCATAATTGATTAAACTTTAATTTCATTCGTAAATATTTCGTCTGTTCTTAACACCAAATTAGGAAACAAATCGTAACATTATAAACATGAGAATATTAATGTATACTATAAACTCCATACAATAAAGATGATTTTGCTTTGACATTGTACAAATCAGGTGGTGAAACAAAAGAAAAAAGTCAAGACCTAAATACTCGATCTTTATACATTTTACAAATATTGTCAATTCACTTAAAATCGGTAACACGAATGAATTCCTCAATAAATATTTTCATAAAATTAAATATAATTTGGCTAGACTTTGAATTCACTAGAATATTTGTTGTAAAACATTTTGTTTTTAGTCTTAGGCTGAGAGTATCCAAAATTCATTTCATACACACAATTTTGCGGCTGATCTTAATTATCACATTACACTTAAATAACTAATAAAAGTAAATTATTTACAGAATGGAATAAAAATATAGGTCTAGTAGTTATCTTCTGTATACTACGTTATTTGGCTTAATTTATCCTTATTTTATGAAAAGCTTGAAGATCAGCAAAGCATAAATATTATTATAAGTTTTGGGAAAGACATAATTAATTCTTAGTTATTTTTATATGAATCGTAATTTAAATGCCGTCCTATACTTAATGGACAATGAGCAACCGCTAACAAGTTACAATAGTTTTGCTTAAATATTACATCTTGTACAGAATACATTTAACCATGGTTTAAAGTTTAAACAATTTTTCTATTTACACATTTCTTTAACAAATTCATTTTAATAAATATAAAAAAATAAACTAGCTAGTAATTTGCGGCCTATTGATTACAATGTACTTACACTATGTACACACTTTGTCACGATCACTAAACGACTCTATACTCCATAGTTTAGGCCAGAATATTTTCATAAAATGCTTGACAACTGACTTACAAAATAAGGTCTAGGACTTAATCAAAAATAAAATATATTTACATAAAAATAAAACATTCAAATTACATAACGTTTAACACAGTTCAACAAGTTTGTATAAGAATGTTACTGTTAATGTTAAAATGCAATAGAAGTTTGAATTCCTGCCACAAGACCATCCCAACTTGGTAACACTATAATAAATCAACTCGCATCACCCCTTACATCCGTGGTATCCTTACGACTACTGTCACAGCACACGTCACCCTCATTACACGAGTCTTTTCTAAACTCTACCGAGTACAGCCAGCGACACAAGTTTACATTCAATATATCATAACAATAGATAACGAAATACACTAAAACTTGTGTGATTTAGTGTAATTCAATTTTGTTACTGAATTCGACATGATTAATATTGAGCATTTTAAAATGACTGGAGACTTGTCGCTATCTGTACTATTCCCAAATAAATACAATAGGTACATTTTATCCAACACATTTTACACACATAAATAAAGCTCCCGAATATCAAATTCGGGGAAGCATGTAACAAAAATAAATACACAAAATACTTAACAAAACGCAGGTCTAACAAGTCAAGGACACCATCCGATGACTAGCTGCGTACTAGAAATAATCAGAAACATAAAACGGAACTTGTAATCCAGGTACATGTTACATTCAGATTGTAAAACATTCATAATACGTACTTAATAAAGTTGAAAGTCGAATGTGGTGGATCCGTCGCGCCAGGTGGGTTCGTCGGAGACCTTGGCGCGGCACAGTGGGCACGTGTGCTCCCGGTCGAGCCAGGCTGAGATGCACAGCTCGCAGAAGATGTGGCTGCAGTCTAACCGCACTGGGGTCGTATACTCGTCGTGGCAGATAGGACAAGCCTCGCCCGCCGCGCTCAGCTGCTCGCGAGACGGTTTTGTGCCAAGGTCCTGTTGGAAATATTTTTATAAGTATTCAAATGTTAACAGTTAATACTATAACTTATTTGATGATGTACTCACCACATTCTGCACCATTGACCAGGCAGCATTCTTGAACACTCGCAGCCGTATCGTCACCTCGATGATCTTGCAGATCACATATATGGAGGTGAGAAACATGCCCATCAGCTTCTCAGAGTCATCGTATGACTGCATCAGGTAGAATATCCACGGTTGGATCGTCAGCAGTGAGCGGTACAGCTGGGACACTGACTCCATGAACAGGAATACTCTACCCTGCAAATGTAAACAAAAAATATAAATAACCTAAAAGTACAAAGATACTACCTCGTTGGCCGACTGATCGCAAGTGCGGCTGTGTGGGCAAAGGGATTTGGGTTCGATTCCCGGGTTATTTTTAAAAGGTCTCTGTAATAACACGGAGTCTGGAATTGTAATAGGTTCACCCCCTATTACATGGGACTCATAACATAAATAAATAGTGAAAAGTGGGTGTTGTTTCGTGTCATTGTACACATTAGCATTAAGTGCCGTAATGTGCACTTCTGCCTACTCCTTTGAGGATAAAAGGCGTGATGTTATGTTCTACAAAGGTACCTTTATTTAATTAAGAGCAAAGTGATGTCAATAATGCAAACAGATTTAACAAACTTACCCTCTTCTGGTACGGCAATATACTTGAAGGCAAAATGGTGACTACCATCTTAATGTTGACGGTAATGATCTTAACGATCAGGTCTGTGAGGATGATGAGCCACAGCAACTCCCATATGTTCAGGTTGGAGTACGCCGGGAACATGACCACGTTGTAGAGGAGCTTCCCGTGCCCGAAGAGGTAGTGAACTATGGCGACGATGCCGAGAGTGGTGAACATCTCTAGGAGACACGAGGATAGACTGCGATGCATCTGTTTCACGTTCTCCCTGTGACATAACAATACATGATCATAAGATTAGCGCCAAGTACTACCTCACTATCACCTGTGTGGCAAGTAAGGTTACTTAGAACATTTACAAAATAATACACCCCCAACATCAATTTGTAGGTCATACAAAAAATTGTTTCATCTGTGGTTGCGTAGAAAAAACCATCGCCCACAATGAATTATAGTTGGTAATTCAAACTTCATGATCAACTTACCTCCTAATAATGCTATTGCAGTGTGTGAAAGTGACAAATAGTATCAAGAACGTGAAGATGCCTTCCCGGCAGTCGTACAGGAATTTGATGATCAGTATGAAGTAGAACGGCGCGTAGCGAATGAGGATATTCAGCGTCGCGCGTACGTCTACCACCTGAAAGAAAATCATATTCAATTTACAATTCATATTTCTACTGCATGGTGGGTACAGTAATCGGATATCTGGCTGTTGCGTAAAGTGTAGAAGGTTCGATTACACGAAAAAATATTACACTCTGGGCTCCGGCGTCCTCAACATTACCGCATACATTTAGCAGTAGAAACTAGACGTTGGAACAATGCTACTTAGTTGGTTAAAAGGTGATCAAGAAGAATTGTAGCATTCATCATAGCGAAGTTCGAAGTTACGAACGAAACTTATATTTATTAAAGACTATTACTATTTATTGAAATAGTAATAGTCTAGATACTAATAGTTGCTTAATTCTTTAATTAAACTACTTCGTTTTTGTTCTGTTCACGAATTCAGAAGTTCGTTGTGTCAGCCGCATCGACGAGGAATATACGCGATTGATCTGGTTAAAAGTAGTTTTATTCACTCCAACCAGGTTTTAATTTTGAAGAATGTCTATTAAGCTTTATAGGTTTTTATTGAATTGCGACTTCTCTGTTTACACTTAATTTGCCAACACACAATAAGCTTCAATCTACACTATTTTGTAAAAAGCTTTTTGTACTAAAATAGTACCTTTCTATATATTACCGAAACCGAAATAGACATGGTGGAGATAATTAAACTGCGTGTTCTGTTTAGTATCTCAAAATACTGAGTAAACTGACTAAATTTATTTAAAAGACTGACTTCATATATAGTTAACATATTAGATAACATTATTGTATGCACATTCCTTAGAACTTAGATACTGAATATTTAAAGTCTGCTCTGCCTATTGATTATATTTTTAATGCAAGTAGAGACTACTAATAAAATATTGTATTCAGTAAAACCTGAACACTATTTGGAATATTGGCTTTGGTTTTAAAAGTCATAGTAAAAAAACACTAAGGACTAGATTCTCCTATTATCCTAAACATAGAATTATTTCTATCACTAATACAGTGGATGGTATTTTACAATCACATCTACAATGATTATGACCTGATGTTTAGCCCCATTATCTGGAGGCTACATCAGAGAATAATCAATAGCAGCCATTCTTCTTGTTTTCTCATTATTGTCACCAGTTATAATGGGTTGAATAACAGCACTATGTGTAACAATACATTATGATGGAAAATGTTGACAAAATAATGATAAATTCAAACTAGGGCAGGAACAGGAAGTTAGGAAAATATTTGAATGACTATGATAAGGGATTTTACATACCCAATCCATTGATATTTGATAGAGAGTTATAAACCTTATTGTACACTAAGTAATTTTACAAGAAATAGTAAGGGTACAGGGGCGGCCTTATTGCTAAGAGTGATATCTACCAGGCAACCTCAATATTAAAATAAATGTAAGGTACAGAAATGAAGATAGAAAATCTACTAAATGTTGAAAAAACTGATTAAGTCTAACTAATACTGATTTATTTATTTGATGTAATCACAGTTCCAGTATTAATGAAAGTTCCTTATAATTTTATTTATGTTCAAGTTTAATAATAAACATGTATACTAGATTATACTCATTACTCATCCATTGGTTACCTACTTCATTAGGGTCACTGTGATAGCAATTGTTAAACATATTAATTGAAGTTTTAAATAATATAATTATTTGGTTTAATCTCTCAATTGCCAGTATATGATACACAACTGAAATGAAATTGCGTTTCACTTAGACACACAAACATATATATTATTTCTGGATGCAGGGGGTTAATTTAATAAAATGCATCTTATTCACAAATATGTGCCAGGACCAGCATAGTTTATCATGAATAGAAAAAAATATTCTAAAACATGATACATACCATTCCAAATCATAGTTAAATTTATTTAGGTAAGTTGATCCCAAATAACAGTATCTGTTTTATAGTGCAATCAACTGTTCAATTATAGTACAAAGTGTAAGTATTGTGACGTACCTGTGAACCATCATCACTTTGACTCTCATTGTCGGCATTTTCATGAATATTGTTGTTGTTGGCTGGGTTCACTGACACAATCTCTTGCTCTTGGTCTGGCTCGGAAAGGCTGGATTCACTATTACTTATTAATACATCATGCTGTGTCCGATGTGTTATGGGAACACCTCGGTCATTTACTGCATATGTTTGTGCATTCGCTCCCAAGTTTACATGTGCTACTGAGCTCAGTGGCCTCGGAGTCGGGTCTACCATATAAGGAGGTGGGGCTGGTATGGCCCTTGGCATCCAAATAGGCAGCGACAGCCGATTGGTTCTGGTTTGCTAAAAAGATACAGTTACACAATAAATAGGAAAATATCGTCATTATGAATCATTATCATTAGCAAAAAATAAAACGTTACATACTATACGTGCTTGTTCCACAATTGGTCTGATCTCCCTGATTACACTTTGTAACTGATCTCCTAGGCCCATGGGTCTGTCTCTGAACTGAGGTGGTTGTCTAGGACTTGGCTCTCCTGCTCCTCTATAGTTATGACGAGGCGCCATCTCCGCAGGTTCTTCATCTTCTATATCAAGTGTTACGTGGTTTGGATGAGCCATCTTTCTGATTTATATTACTGGAGAAGTAGTTAAATTAGAGCTCCTATCTAACAATAAATGTAACAATTTTCAATATTCTCATTTCCAAATATTATGAGCTTTATCGTCCGAAGGTCACTATTTTGACATGACATTTCCGTGCTTGCTGACTGACTGTCACTGTCAGTGACTCATGACGTTTTGTCGCAGAACAAAAATTTCACGACGTTTGTGTTGACTTTCGTTCTGAAATTCAAGAAATTTTTAAACACAATGGGATTTATTGGAATGTTCATTTATTAATAATTACTCAATTTAATGAAGAAACAGATGCATCAAATACTTATTCGGTTGGGGTTGATGTCAATGTTTTTGAGTAAGTAGATGCAGGTAGTGCTCAGTTGATGTGGGGTTCCGGTTTCCGGTTGCGGCTTCGGACATTTACTAATTTTAAAAATATCAGCAAATGTTCGTAAAGCTAAATCGTAAAACAGGTAATATAAATACTCGCCTTATTATTTGCAAATAGGTATTATTTGTCCTTTAGGTGCAAGTGTTCTCAACTACGGAATACCTACAGTTCAACACTCAATTGCATTTTGTCCTACGAGGTTTATAATCAACAGACACAGTTGAAGGTACTCAGCTACAGTCTGCACCATGGTCTGTATTTGATGATCTTGATAACATCTCGGTTCCTATACTTATATATGCTAGCTAAGGAGAAGGCGGCTGCCTCTTCGCAACCCAGCCATCGCTAAGGACGCTCCGGGCGTCCAGGAATCGCTGGACGATCTCCGGCCCCCGTAAGCGCGGGCCTGCGGACGGCGAGCATGGGTGGCTCACCGTCCGACCAGAAACGACAAAAAGGTACCTATATATCTACAGTTATATGTATAATATATTGGTAGTGTAGGTACTTAGTTAGGTATATATGATGACTATTCTTTTAAATGTTTTTATATTCCCCAGATGACGTAAACGTAGCATGTTCTGTTACGTTAGTAAGTAATTATAACAATTGTTTAATGAGGAACTACGATTAGTTTCATCAAGTCAGGCTTGACGCTCATCGTTATGACTATGAGCAACATTACGCGACAAACAACACGATAAGGGTCGCGCAGTCAACTGTTTTTACTGTTTGACAAGATAACTCGAGTACCTTCGTTACAAAGTCGTAAAACATAATAACGCACTCAAAAAAACTGAGTTATGATTTATGGCTGGGCGCAAAAAATTGCTTGCATAGGTAGGTACAACGTTTCACATCACATCACATCTAAACCCGTTACACTTCGTGGTTCATATAAAAATGTTGTTTCGTATGGGATGGGAGTCGAACCCATAAAACATAGTAGGCCAGTCGGGCAGTATTGAAATGTGTAATATAGGGTATATAATAAAAGAGGTCAGCATACTGTCAATAATTTATTTTGTCTTTAAATAATAGTCAATAGACCGCAATGAATTTCTAGCTTTTGATACGATGAGCAATTAACATCTACGGTAGTTACGATACGTCATGTACGCACGATGTAGATATACGTAAATTCAGTCTTTGTTTAGGCTTTACACCGCGGCACTGATGCCAGCACACGCCGTGTGGCTGGCGGACCGCGGGAGTCTCCGTCGAATCCGATCATTGTTAACTAAACAGTAATTATATCATTACACATATGAATCAATTGTTATTAATGTGCTTAAGTTATAAAAATTAATATAAATAATATTATTGATATACTATGTAATTGGACTGAATCGTTAAATAATGAACGTTTGGTTTCGAACAAACACTTAGCCCGGTCTTGGCACATGGTTTTAAGAGCTCTCACGCCTCATTATCGGGTCTCAGAGCCAGGACGCCTTGTGAATGTAGATCTCGGACAGCTTCCAGCAGTCGTCGCTCAGCTCTAGGCTCTCCCAATGCAACATCGACGCTCCCTGCACACAATAACAATGCCCTGAGGGCCGCCCGCGGCCAATCCGGCCTCAAACCCCGCCTAACTGTAACTCCAGCAGAAGCAGCACCCAACCTCGCACACTCGGCTTCCAATCGATCTCCATATTCTTCAATTAGAGTGTCGCCTACTGATCTTCTCAGCTCCGGCGTCAAAGATGACAGAAGTAACAATGCGACATCATCCATTGGTCTTCCTAAAGAAACCATTTGCCAATCTAGAGCTATACATTCGCTAACACCTTCTCTTTCCCTGAAGAGTAAATTACCACTCCAAAAATCTGCGTGTGCAAGTGGTGCTGGTTCAGCAGGTCTCAACAGGGTGCCGAGTAAAGAAGGTGCCCGAGCACTCAAAGCAGACACAGCAGCTGCTTCCTCTACACAGTCAGGGCGTCCTCGTAAAAATGCTTCAAGCTGTGGAAGTCCTCGCCGCACGAGGCGCAAGTATCCTGCAGCAGCTCTCTCACAGGGGAACAGAAAGTCAAATCTTTGGTCCAATGGTCCTTCCCTATCGCGTAGTGCAAGAGAGAGCGCGTGTAGTCTCGCAGCTGCAAAAAGTGCAGATCGCGCACGTTCTTCAGTTAAACCTTCAGCAAAATCAGCGCTTCGTAACCGACTGATGTAACATCTTCCAATACAAGCTCGCTGTCTCCACCGATCTCATCTGAAATTTTAAGAAGAATTTTAAGTATCAATCTCAAGTCAAATGTTAATCAGAATTCTGACAGTAATGGGGACTGCCTACTACGATTAATAGGTACCAGTGTATCATCATAGAAAATATTCATTTCGAAAAAACCTTCTATGTTTCAGTTGAATAGCTCGACCTAATTGTCGAACCTATGAAAAATGAAGCCTAGAAATAGGTCACAAGCGAGGAGAAGAGGAAAGGGGGCGGGAATGTCGCATGTGACGCGCAAAGGTGAAAAGTCAAGTGGTGTTACACAAGATAATAAAAATTATGTAGGTCGGGATCTAACTTCAACCACTAAAATGTAAAAATGTACTTAGTTAGTCCATCGTTTTTATTTCTAAGTAAACATACCAACATAATTGTATGAAATATGTATGATATGTACGGTTAATGGTTAAAACACATGTGAATAAATATCGTAATGTAGGTATTCAAGACACTTCACCAGTTTACCAAGACCTTGAAAAGACAAAAATAAATTGCCTGAGTCAGTGACTGGAGATTCGATACGCGCATTGCATACAGATGACTGAAGAATACAAACCTATGAGAGTATTTTATGATATACGTAAATAAAGCACGTTTGACATAGAATACTGACCAGGTAGTCTTGCTTTTACGCATCTAGGCACAGGTAAGCCCGATCCGGGTCCTACGGCCTCCTCTGCTAGTTTGTTGAGAGCTGGTGCTAGTTCTGTATAAAACAGAATCTCCCTGGTGTCGAACTGTGCCTCGGCAACGAATAACCGCCCGAAGGGATCTCGCGGAGGCAGCTTGACGACGAGCGGTAAAGCGCGGCGCTCACCATTGCTCTCGTAGCAAACTGTCACAGCCAGGACACGACTGAGGGCTCCTGCAACTCCTGCCCGTGATTCCACGTGTACCTAAGACATTTAGAAAATTAAGCAGAGAAAGTGTTCTTGTATTAATAATGTTTATAACGCTTTTTTTCAGAAAATAGTTAAGTTACTTAAGTTTACGTGTGTACCTACAGTAGTATAGAATATTAATACATAAATCTAGTGCGTAAGTAGAATTACAACCACCTACTTCATTTTATGTGATTTATGGGCATAAATAATGCACTCGTATTATCATGGTCGATTGACAACAAAACATTTCAGACATTCTTTCATGAATACGATATTTACATAATCTTGCAACGTTTCTTTAGATTAATGAGCTCTATAAAAAAGGTTCTGTATTTATTAGTAAATAAATAAATGATTTTGTAAGTAAAAGTGAATTATAATAAAATAGTAGACGTAAATCAGGCAAACCTCATGCGGGTCGACCACGCCCGCTCCAGCTAACAGCTCCCGAGCCCACTCCTCAGTGAGAGCTGCATCCGCATCGGTCTCTGGTCCGGGCTCGCAGTCGGAGTCCTCGCTACCGCTGCTGGGGGCTTCAGAAACCGCCGTACTGTCCGGCCCCCCGGCTTGCATCTTGCGCACTATACCCGTAGCACTGAACTGAGCGACAAATACTGTTTCTATCTATCTATAACAACGTGACTATGCACATTTCTGTGTTGAAACCGCCTATCTGAAGTAAAATTGAGGCGAAACATTCGAACGTTACAAAAAAATTACTTCATACTAGGGTGCTGGTGTCGGTGCACTGAGCTCGAATAGATATGCTGCCTGGGGCTACGTCTCGATTTGCCGGCGTCTCGCGCATGCGTGTATCTACGACTACTTACCTCAATTATTCATCGGGACTCCCATAACGTGTCACCCACCGCCACCGCTCAATCATGAAAGCTATGCATATAATGCACGTTTTTGTTTAGTAAAGATAGGTGACTTACTAGGAAAGATTCAAAGGAATATAAGGTCGTATTTGTATCTCAAGATGATCTGAAGTCTCAAGTTAATAAATTAATTACTAACTGGGGTCCGTCCGCTTTGCTCGGGTGCTATTCTGCAATTTTCGAATAGGTATTTTTTACTTCACATACACTATCATGACAATAAAAAAACACAATAAAAAAGAATTATTGAAATTGTGCAGTCATTCGAGTTATACCTACACTTATCGATTACCTTTATATACCTATTTTGGAAATACCTACGTTTTTTAGTTTTGTTAATTTATTACAAGTTTCTGTCGCTTATATTTATATAGGTAGGGCTTCGTATGAGTTTGTTTTACGTTTAACGGCACGTCGCTAGCGATTTTATTCAATACATTTAGTTACTCAGTTACCTACCAATTTTTTTCAGATAAATGCTGAGATTTCATTATGTATCTTTATTATTTTAATGTTTTAAATATGGATAAGTGGGTAGGTATAAAAATTATGGCTAACATTTTTTTTTAAGGGGGGAAAATCATCGAATGACTGCTCCCGCCTGGGTGAGGCGGAAGGGAGTGTCAGACTCTTACTGACTAAAAACCACCCCGTTATTTCTCCTGCACGTCGAGCCGGAGCCCCGGTTACCCGTTAGGTTCTCCGCGACTCCGATGGCTAACAATACGTTCGAGGAAAGGATGAGTCGAGTCGAGAATAATATATTATGTTATATTTCAGACAGCTTAGGTGTTAAAAATATGATGTAGACTTATATTTATTTACGTAAGAGGCTGCTCAGAGTATTTAGTAATAGTCCAAGGACGGCTGTTAACGTGCTTATTATATTTATTAAATAATATTATGTAAAATGTGCCAAAGCCATCTCTGCCTGTCATAAAAGTAAAATTTTATTATGGAATCATTATTGTTATATCCTGATAATTTGTACTGTATCTAGATATTTAAAGAAAAATTATTTAATATTTATTTTAATAAGTTTTTTCCTTTAATCATGTCAGTACTAAAAAGATATTTTTTGCTTATAAGCCTCTCGGAGGAGGTTTTAGGTCTCCTATACCTAAAAAAACTATAATCTTTGGCTTTGGATTGTCTATTGCAAAACATGAACATTGACAGTGACGTTTTTTTGACATACTTAGTTGTCAAACAATTGGTCTCATTTGTCAGCGGAATTTAATGCGAACCGGCTAGTGAATTATTTGTTAGCAGAGCGTTATAAAATGTTAATAACTATCGATTTATTTTAGGTCCCTGTAAAAGAAAAGCCTTACTATGGGAAAGGAAAAATCTAAGAAACGAAGAAGATCAAGTTGCTCAAGTTCTAGTAGTTCTGATTCTGATGCGTCCAGAGAAAAAAAGAAACTCCGCAAGTTGAAGAAAAAATTAAAAAAGGAAAAGAAGAAGACTGAAAAAGCGTTGAAGAAGAAATTAAAAGAGGAAAAGAAAAAGCTTAAAAAGAAGCAGAGGAGTAAGAGTACAAGTCGTAGTCGTGATGGTAGTAACGCGAAAGAAGTAGCCGTCTCCACAGACATTCCCCTCGGTATGTGCGCAACGAAGGAAACCGGCGGCGACAGTATTTACCAGACTGATATATTTAGTAGATTGCCAGTAACTTCTTAAACTAAAGAACTACTGAAGTACAATACATAGTATTTAAATTGTTTATGAGCTGGTTATGCCTGAGTTTGAATCAGGATTTTTGTTTCAGAACTTATGGAAAAATCCAAAGCCATGGCCCCTATGACCAAAGAAGAATGGGAGAAAAGACAAAGTGTAGTTAGAAAAGTTCTAGATGAGGAGACAGGGAGATACAGGTTATCCTATCCATCTAATATCTACATCTATATTAACTACTACTACTTTCTGTATGAGATAGTATATCCAATCTATCTTTTACTTTTTAATGAATATTCCCTCAGTTGAGTCTTGTTTTCAGGTTAATTAAAGGTGATGGAGAGGTGTTAGAAGAGATTGTGTCCCGTGACAGGCATAAGCAGATCAACAGGCAGGCAACACAGGCTGATGGAGCATTCTTTCAGTTACAAACTGTTGAGAAAAAGATGCTATAGAGGGCAGCTTGGGAGTTGATACTTCTATATCATCACTCTCTATTTATAGATTCTAAACAACCCACCATTGATACATATGTGCACCAAGATGTTTTGATGAGCTTCAAATGACATGTATCTGTTTCTTTAAGTTTAATTATTAAAAGTATTAATATTGAGTTGAACCTCTTGTTTTTAAATGTTATTATTAACCTGATTCTACACTAGATACTCCAACTATATGTTCACCGTCATGTTGGATGTCATGATAATGGCTAGATAGTTTTGAAATTAAACTGGTGAGATGGAACATCGATGAGGCTATACAATGAAGAAAATCAGTTTGTTTCATTGGATAACATTCCTATTACCTATTCAAGATCAAATTAATCTTGGATATCAGTAAAATGTAATGCAATCCATCAACAATGGATTTGCACTTGCATGCGAATTTTATGTGCATGTAGTTATTGCTTGGCATGCAATTTTATGGTCTACATTGTAATCAGATAACAGAAAATTGTTTCAAGGGCTGCTCTCTGTGTAGTGTGTTTTAATTATATTCTCTGAGAAAATTATACATTACTATCTGCATTGCAAGAAAAGGGCATAATTACATGGAATTCAATAAAAAGCACAGAATTTAAATAATCCAAGCTGTTATAAAATTTGTTTATTGATCTACCTAATAAATTATAATTCGTCTTTGGTTTTCGTGATGTCCTCATCGTTTGTTGTTCCCTGCTCTGTGCTCGTGTTGGTACCTTGAAGGTGTTCATTGACTAGAGTTATTAAGCTTTCGAGGGAGCGTCCTCCATGTTCTACATTCACAATCTTCTTTTCCTTGTACAGGATTAGAGTGGGGAGGCCACTGATCTAAAACAAACAACTGATGTGAGATTTTAACACATACACATGTGACTTGTAGTTGAATCTGAGGTGTAGTTGTCACAATATCCCGACAAAATACAAAATGATAAGATAACAATGATAACATTATTGAATTAACCTGAACAGAACTTGCCTAATGTTCTCATATTATCTTGAATGATGTGTTTCTTACCTTCTCAGTTTCACAAATGGGTTTTGATTGCACGCAATCGACATCTGCAATTATAACGCGTGTTTCGTTTTGAAACCTCTCACCCAATTTCAACCACAGTGGGCTTAGCTGCATACAGTGTGCACACCTGTGAAATATAAAAAAAAATAATTCCTTTATATTATGTTCTATCCAATTTTGTTGGTAATGAAAGTTGTTTTTGCAATTACTACATAGGAGATATTATTTTTTGGTGGATTCCAATGATTCCAAGCTAGTTTTCGTTTATTCTTACATTTAACAAGAATTAACTTGAGCACTGCAGTGCTTAAGCATAATCAAGATTCAAATAAGAAACTTACCATGGTGCAAAGTAATTTATAAATACTAATTCCTTCTCTAAGAATGTCTCAAATGTTTCTTCTGAAATCCTAGCAACTGGTAGAGCTTTCTTTTTCTTTAAGAACTTTTCAGGATCATGATTTTCAGTGAGCAACATTTTTTCTACATATCCTTTTAGGTCATCTATTGTTTCTGCTTCAGCCACTCCCATCTGTAACAACATTATAAATAAATAATTTGTTTCTTGACAATTCATGTACTTTGACTTTAATAAGCACTGTACTGCAACTGCATGGTGTGTGTGGTGACTGGGCAATAGGCTGCCGCACAACATGTAGAACATTTAGCGAGTTCAATTCCTGCATGGAGTAACTCTTGTGTGATTCACAAATTGTTATTTCTGGTCTAGGTGTCATGTGTATGTGAACTTGTATGTTCATAAACATACCCAACATACCCATAATACAGACGAAACATTTTTTTAACCAATACAAGAATAAATAAATTGAACTTACAATTCTGCCATTGACAATCCACATTAAGTAAGGATATTGTTTGATGTCAAATGTCTTGCAAGTCATCTCATTGTCCATGCAGTTCACTTTTCCTATCTGGATGTACTCATTATTTGCATATAGCACTGCTAGGTCAGCCCAAATTGGTGCCAATTTCTGAAAAAATGAAGAACATGTTTTATTTATGGTAGTAAATATTTATAACATTTATCCTTCCAAAAGACATAATTATAATATTTTTAAGCCCACTTAATCAACCAGATATCCATATCTGGTTGATTATTTTTCAATTATTATCAGAACAATTAGAAACTTGTAAGTGTATTTACCTGTGATGCCTTACACCATGGTGCATAGAACATAATAAAGTGTTGTCCTCTTGACACAAACTTCTCAATATTTTGATCATTTAAGTAAGCCATTCCACTGTATGTTTTTACTTCTCTGGATTCTTTTTCTTGATCCAAACCCTGAAAGTATAAAGTTTCATAAGAATTACAATAGTATGCAACCTATTTCAAAAAATGTTTTCATTACTGTTTAATATCTTACCTCTGATTTCATAGTAAATACTTCACTTAAAAATAATGTGAGGGATGGCAAATCCCTAGTACCCTTATATTCTACTGGAGAAAAAGTGTTTTTATGGTAGTATAGTAACGTTGGATATCCTGGAAACAAAATCATTGTTACAGTACATTATTAGAATTTTCAAATACCTAGCATCGATAAAAATACTGAAATATTAAAATTTTCATGTCATCCCTTCCAATTTAAATATTGTTTTTCTTATTGGTCTGTTACTAGCTAGATAGCTAGTAACACTGACCATACTGATCTCAGTATGGTCACCAACTGGCCTGGTGGTAAGTTACGATGTGGCTGATGATGGACCATGCTTGCCATAAGCAACCTATTCACTCGACTTTAGGTTATCTAGAATATATATAAATCTTACAAGTACCTGTTATGTCGTTTTCGTTGCATAATTTAAAATGTATTGTACAGTCCACCTGGGCAATAGCAAATTTTGAATCTTTAGTATTGACAAGCTCTGCTAGTTCTGCCCAGATTGGATGGAACTCTGTGCAGTGCCGGCACCTGAATTATATCAAAAATGATTCAAAACCAACATACACACACGAGTTGAAAACCATATGATTATGAAGAAAACGTAATGGTACGGCTTTAAAACGCAATGTACCTACTCACCAAGGTGCATAAAACATTATAAAATTTCCATCCATTTCTTCTATTTGAATTTTGAAATTATTTGCATTGTATTCATAGACTGAACTTTCCTCAAGTGCAACAAAATAAGGTAAAAATAGAAAATGTAGTATCACTAGTCTCCTTATCATCTTGGAATATATTACTGTTTAACAGACAATATTTATTAGATTATTTTTTAAATTATGGGTTTAGAAAAAGATTAATAATAAATACGTGATCATTGAAGACTTAATTTAATGCAAAAATAATCAACCAAACACCAATCATCACTTCACAACAAATGATGAATCGAATGAACTAATTAGAACTGACTTCCACAGATAACAGGTAAACAATTTCACATCGTTTTCCATTCACTCCTTCGGTCTTCCATAGACTAAGCTTCTGTGACTTTTTATATAGACTAAAATATCCTACACATGCTCATCATTCCTGTGACGATTATTATTTCAATAAATGAAATGGTTTAAAAAATGTTTGTGCTCAACGTTTTTTAAAATATTTAGTTAGACGTAAAACGATTATAGCGTACATTCATTTAAATCAATAAATAATAATTTTATTTTTCAAATGATACAGAGCATCGACAAACGTCACTATGCTGTAGCTTTTATGAACATACAAAAGAATGTGGTAATTCTTCAAAATGGTCGCTTTGTATGGTTTGCCAACTTGCATGTCTGTGTTTCAGAGTTCTTTGTTTTCATAATTCATTCGATATTATTATATACAAGGAAAAGTTTATGCAAATTTGCAGTTGTAAAGTTTGGAAATGAACATTGACATTGTTATCATAAATTGTGGTGCTCGAGAAAGATGTCATCGGTAATGTGAGAGCTCTCCGATAGAATTTTATTTTACGAGATTATGACGTTTGTGACTCCAAATCTGATTTGCAGAAAGTGAAAAATTTCCTGGTAAATGGTTATTTCAATAAATATTTCGAAAACAGTGTCTGTAATTAGTTGAGACGAAACAAAGCTGACTCTAATTTTGGCATTCCACAGTACTATGTCATGATTGATTCGTATTGAACATTCTTTTGGCTTGTAATGAACCAACAGCTTTGACTGGAGGAATATTAATTCAGAATGCCATAATATTTAGTTTTATTCACACTACGTATACTTTTTGTTTACGATAGAACGTATAATGATAAATATTGTTATTCCAGTTGATAAAATTGTGTTCATGTCAAAAAGCACACAACAATCCAGTAAGATTTCAGTTTTGTATGTATTATGGTAATGTCTATGTGTATAAGATGTTTATAACTGTATTTATAATGTAATTATATTTCTTTTTCAGTGTAATACATAAGTTGTTAAAGCATTGGATATTTATATTATGCTAACACAAGCCAGAAGTTGAGAAACGAAAACAAAGTTGAAACCATCTGGACTAGAAGTTGCTGGACAATATTTGAGTGTATAATAAATGCTATCGTGACTAGTGACCATGAGTGTGCTCAGAAGGTGGTGTGTGCTTGTGTGATGGGAGGGGTGGGGTGAGAGGTGAGGCGCACGGGCGCGGGCGCGGGCGCCATGAACCCGCCGGCGCCCCGCCAGGCGGCCGCTCGCTCCGGCTATCATCAAAAGGCACTAGCCCAGATCCGTAATTCACTATTACCATTCGCTAACAATGGCAACTCTGAGCCACCTGGCTCGTCAGCAGCGAGCACAGTCAGTTCTGGTGTTAGCTCTGGCTTTAGCTCATCATCGGGGAATGGTCTTGACAAGGATTTGACTGCATTACCACAAACCTTAAACCAATTAATAGCTTTGGGATTTGATGAGGTAAGTGTACATTATGTGCAAAAACTTCTGTATTTGATATGCTTATATCACTGATTTAATTACATAAATTAATGTATCTTCATTGAAAGTCAGAAATGTAAACAGTGCTGCCTAAAATTCTTGTATATTTCTTTAACAGGCCCCAGTCTTACAATAATGCCTGATAAACTAGTCTGGTCTAGGTACTGGCCTTTTCCTTGGAATCTCCATTCTAACGAGGGTGCCAGAGTGTCCTTACCAATACATAAATAACAAAAATAATAACTAGTGTTATTCATGACTGGCTAGTTTGTCTTATGTTCTTGTGATGAAGACTTAGTGCTCAGAGAGGCTTCTTATCTGAACTGTTTTATGAATCCCTTGTAATCACAATTTATTATTATACTAGCTTCTACTGCTCAGTTTCACCCGCTCTGCTCGGCACCTGTTGATCATAGCATGATGTCTTTTAGCCTATAGCCTTCCCTCTATAAATGAGCTCTCCAACACAAAAATATTCAAATAAATATTTTTCAAATTGGACCAGTAGTTTCTGAGATTGGTGTGGTCAAACAAACAAACATCTCTTCAGCTTTATATAATAGTATATAAGATATAAAATTTGACAAAGTAGCTTATATTATTATATGTAGTACCATAGAGTGATCGATTACATTATTCTAGTTATCATAGTAAATCATGTCTGTTATGGCAAAAGTTGAAGAGAGTTGAGAGCACAGAATCTTCTTATATTTAATAACTTGCAAAATTCAAAATGCTGAAAAGGATTTTTGGTGTACCTCAGATATCAATATATGTAGTTCCATTCATAGATAATACTTAGGATTTATGAGGGTCAGAAAAATAAAATATCGCATTGGGCATTAACCTGTAAAGATAAATATAAGTGGAATAAATAAATAAAATCATGCACCCTCTGCAGAAGAATGTCATTTTGTCTTGTAGTAGACAGATCCATAATGTTTGGTGTTTAATTACTTTTTAGTGTAAGTTTCACATCATTGTAATCTGAAAATGCTTGTAAATTGCAAATAGATTGGTTTCCCTACTCCTGCATTGTTACTTATGTTTTGCATTGATTGACCTTTATTTATTATTTAAGTTACCACTGTTGTGTGTATGTATATTACAGCTGTTTATTTGCTTTACTGTCTTATCCTCCTACTAAATTCTTATATGAATTGTTAATATCTGCCTTGGTTCCATTTCCTCTATATACTTAATATATAAACCTAATGAGTTTGTTTGAACATGTTCTGTCTCCTGAACTACTGGTCCACATTCAATAGTTCTTTTTGTGTTGGTTAGTCCATTTATCAAAGAAGGTACGAGGGGTTATAACACATTACCAAACCGCGCGGGGGTAGCTAGTATTAAATAAATCCATTGGTGTCACATTGCTCTCATAAATAAATGAATAGGTCATTTCTTATTGGACTTGATTTTTATTTATGTATATATTTTTATTAATTGAGAATATTTTTCATCTTTACAGGATCCTGCTGTAAGAGCATTAAAATATGCTGGAGGGCGATTTGATGCAGCGTTAGATTACCTGTCAAAACAACAGGAATCTCATAACGGAGTCCTTAAGACAAGTAACTTAAATGCCTTGAACTCCAAACTTATACGAAAACCTAGTCTAGAGCGTGAAATTAACCTCCATAGAGGTAGTCCTGCACTTGATTCTGGCGCAGGCAGCTCTCGGTCTGACAGTCCTAGACAGTCGGATGCACCTCCTCTCCCTCATGAGAAATTAAGTAGGCAATACTCGCCATCCGGTTTCTCTGAACCGCCGCCACCGCCTCCGCCGCGATGTCCGTCCACGCCGCCAGTAATGCCATCAGTGCAGCAGCTCATGAAGCGCATGTCACCTGCGCCACCATTACCGCCTGCGCGGCACCAGCCCCGTTGCAGCTGGCGCACCCACGCCACCTGCCCGGCAGCCAATGATAGTGCAGAATGGCCCACAAGTCCAGCAGCAGTTAACGCAGCAGATTCAGGCCCTGAGCATTTATCAATCGTCAGGTGGAGGTGCAGAACTGCCCCCACCATATCCACTGTCGGGCGTACCACCTCCTCCTTCATACTCAGTGTCAATGCAGAATCGCCAAAGTCCCACACAGTCACAGGACTATCGGAAGAGTCCATCGTCGGGGATCTACTCGGGAGGCACCTCCGCCGGGTCGCCGAGTCCGATTACGGTGACGCAATCGACAGGCTCGGCATCGGGGATGACTCGACCTACGCCTATTCAGGCGTGGACTGCGAGACAAGCGGTGCAACCTCCCATTATTATGCAATCTGTGAAAAGTACACAAGTTCAGAAGCCAGTACTGCAGACTGCGATAGCGCCTGTTGCACCTCCACCTGTCGCGAGCTCGGTCGCGCAGCCGCCTCCGCCCTCGTATGCTAGCTCTATCCAACAGAAGCAACAGGCGCAAACACCGCCGAGCTACCCTCTGGCCCCGAAGCCGTCCTCGCCCGGGTCCACGCCCCCAGTCATACCTACAGCGACCACTCCCACCGTTCCCACTACAGAACCACCGAGCTATGCTATCACAATGCAAGCTCTAGCCGTGCAGAGAGGGATGCACCCTATTCCACCGCCGCCATATGGCAATCAAAACGATAACACGACTACTGTCAATTCCCACCACTCACCTTTACATAAGAAGTTCTCAAACACAGGAGAAGCTTCCCAGGTAGAAATTAAATGTCCAAATCAAAATTGTACGAACAATCTACTGAAAGATAGTGTAGCCGCGTCCAGCTCGGATAAAAGTTCGAACGGTTCAACGGAGCGTCGACCCAAGGGCTTAGAAAAGATAAGACATCAATCGCCTATTCCGGAAAGGAAAAATATTAGTAAAGAAAAAGAAGACGAACGAAGAGATTGTAAAGTGAGAAATTATTCACCTCAAGCTTTTAAATTTTTCATGGAACAGCACGTCGAAAACATTTTGAAGTCGTATAAGCAACGAACGTTTAGACGAATGCAGTTGGAGAAAGAAATGACTAAAATAGGTCTCAGTGCAGAAGCACAATGTCAAATGAGGAAGATGTTATCTCAGAAAGAATCCAACTACATTAGATTAAAGAGAGCAAAGATGGACAAGTCAATGTTCACGAAAATTAAGCCGATCGGAGTAGGCGCCTTTGGGGAAGTGACGTTAGTAAGAAAGATTGATACTAGTCATCTATATGCCATGAAGACACTTCGAAAAGCTGACGTGCTGAAGCGGAACCAGGTGGCGCACGTTAAAGCTGAGAGGGATATATTAGCGGAGGCTGACAACGAATGGGTCGTTAAACTTTATTACAGCTTCCAAGATAAAGATAATTTGTATTTTGTGATGGACTATATACCTGGTGGTGATCTGATGTCTTTGTTAATAAAGCTGGGTATATTCGAAGAGAGCCTCGCTAGGTTCTATATCGCGGAGTTGACGTGTGCGGTGGAAAGTGTCCATAAGATGGGCTTTATCCACAGGGACATCAAACCCGACAATATTTTAATAGATCGCGATGGCCATATTAAGTTGACAGATTTTGGTTTATGTACGGGATTTAGGTGGACGCATAACTCTAAATATTATCAGAGAAATGGTGAGCAATTTTTTATACTATACTTACATAAATTAATTACGTACTGAAAGAATTCATGTGTTATTTCATTATAATCACTTTGTTGACTTAGCTGTACAGAAAATGTAAAAAAATTAAGATTTTTGTTATATTTATATTGTAACCTTGGTGAGACATACAAAATTAATTATTATGTTTTAAAACTAGTTGAGTTCCTCGTCAAATGATTAAGTGAGTAAAACATAATAATTGATTTTTTTCTGTTTACTTAAGCAAATTTCGTCTTATATAATGTTTGTTAAATGATTGTCTGTCAGTAATGATACATACCTACTTGTTTAGATCATGGACGACAAGACTCGATGGATCCAGTGGACGGAGAATGGGGTGCCATGGGCGAGTGTAGGTGTCATCAGCTAAAACCTCTGGAGAGGCGACGCAAGCGCGAGCACCAGCGGTGTCTGGCGCACTCGCTGGTCGGCACGCCCAACTACATCGCGCCTGAGGTCCTACAGCGCACCGGTTACACCCAGCTGTGCGACTGGTGGTCTGTTGGTGTCATCCTCTATGAGATGTTAGTCGGATCACCACCTTTTCTAGCCTCTACGCCCGCCGAAACGCAACTCAAGGTTAGCTATGAAATGCTTATATTGTACATTTGTTCTCATTTTCTTTCTGCATAAATTGATACATTTGCCTAATTTACATTTCTTAATTTCACAGGTTATAAACTGGGAAAGTACCCTACATATCCCAGATGCAGCAAAATTATCTCCAGAGAGTAAGGATCTAATCCTACAGCTATGTTCTGGTCAGGAAACGAGGCTTGGCAAAGATGCGAACGAAGTAAAGAACCATCCGTTCCTACATGGCATTGACTTCGACAAGGGACTGCGGAGGCAAGTGGCACCATACATACCTCGGATCGACTACGCGACCGACACTTCCAACTTCGATCCAGTGGACCCGGACAAGCTCCGCAACTCGGGCAGCTCCGACTCCAACAAGTCGGACAGTGAGCTTCTCGACAACGGTAAGACGTTCCACGGATTCTTCGAGTTCACGTTCCGAAGGTTCTTCGATGACGGTTATACGAACAAAATCAACCTCGACGACAACGATAACCAGGGACCCGTGTACGTATAGAACGAGCGCCGCGATACAGTGATAAAAGAGACACTGAGACTAACTTGTAGGATTTTTTTACAAAGTGTGTGCCTTTGACTCTCTCTATTAAAACATTAGTTTTTGTAAACGTAACGAATATAACGTATTTAAAATTAATTAAAAGCCGTATTGTTAATAATCCCGGTGATAATGTTGTAATATTGTATCGTTATGTATTTGTAAGAGTAATCTTATTTCACTGTAATATATGTAACGAATGGATCACAGTAGTGCATAGCCTAACTATGGTGCTGTTAGCGACCGGCGGCCGCGGCAATGTGCGGTGCGCGTCGTAATGTCTAATGTCCATTCAGTGTATACTATTTTTTGTAACTAGAGAAATTATTTATGAGATAAGAACAAGCTTACTGGAATTAGTGAATGATTGTCACTATATTTTCTTATGTATTTATCGAGGTAGGTCGCTTATGTGTGTTTGTTTATATACGTGTAAAACGTTTACTTATGATTCATTAACGTCATACAAGCATAATTAGTAAAACGTACTGTGCTTCCATTTTGTCTACAGGACACTAGCTCATAATGTGTGCCTTAGAGTTTCGATATTAACATTTTACAAGTGTATATTAAAGAATTTGTGATGGGTCAATCAATTGTACACAACAACATAGTAGATAAAGTTTTATAATTCGACATATGTACTGAGTGCAATACATATTTATTTATGAGACAAAAGTCGATACTTGATTTGCTGTTGTTGAAGTTTTACTTCGGTTTATTTAGTAAAGCACATTTTTGAGTCGAATTTTTGCGTTTAAAATATGCAAGATTTTGTAACTACCATTAAACTAACAATATCCAGTATAGTCGCAAAGTAAATAACATAAAGTAATGAGAACAAAAGGCGTATCAGCCGCCATACGATAACAAAACTGCTTGTTTGTGTTTGAAGAAAAAAAAACACAATTTTTTCACTTGTACAGTAAAATATGAGTCAGTTCAATTTTAAATTATGTGTTATTGAATGTAAATTGTTTTATTCTGAAATGAATCATGCTTATAAGTGAATGAAAATAAAATATGGGAATTTTTGTTATTTTTTCTTTCCAATCCATAACCATATACATAATTACAAATAATTAAATGGTATAGGTGAGTATCAGTTGTTTGTAGAAATCTTCTCAAAGTGTTTCATCTCATTATTTCATCATTGTTATTATGGTTTTAATAAAAATTCTTGCACTCTTTGGTTGAAATCTTCAGCATACTTCAGGTGAACATGATGTTTCCCTTCAGGGTACAGATGTATCCTGAAAACAATTATAGTGCTTAACTTATGTTTGCATGTTTCATGAAATATGTGTCATTTGTTGAGTGGGCTTACCTTGAGCCATCAATGTGAGTATGCAAGTGAGAGGCATGCACACTGTCCACGAGGGGGTCCTTTTGACCATAGAGTATGAATGTGGGGCATTTTATATTTTTTAACATTTCAGCACAGATATTGCCATCCTTAGTTTTGTATAGAGCTTCCATTCCATCAACCCATTCAGCCCAGTATTTAGCAAATAATTCTTCTCCATATATTTCAACTAAAGGCTCTCTCATCCTTTTTGACCAGGAATTGATGTCTCTAATTTCTGAGGAGGTAAACAATCACTCATTATAGTGTAAGTCTATATTACAACATTTTGTTGTTCAGTAATTTTATTGTACCTGCTAGTGTTATAATCTTATCTTTATTATAAAATTGTCAATAAAGAGCCCATGATATAATGCAAGATTATCAAACTTACTTTTGTACATTTCCACTTCATTAGGTAACACAAAGGAATTGGCACCCCAGACCACTAGCTTATTGACTGCATCTGGGTACTTAGCAGCATGGATCAAACTGGTGACTCCACCGTCACTGAATCCCAATAGGGAATATTTCGGAATTTTCAAAGCCTTAAACCATAATAACAGTTGTAAATAGACCTTCGAATAGGTACTGATGCCAGGGATTAAAATAATGTGACCATTATGCATGCATTTACCTTCATAAATTCGTAAGCTGCATCTGCATCCCTTTCATAGAAATCAGTACTAAATACTTTTTCAGGTGGTCTACTCTTGCCATAGCCTGGTGGATCCCAAACCACAAGTGTGAATTTCTCTCGGTTGAATCCCTCTATTTGAGGTTTACCCTCTGTCCATATTGTCCCAAGAGCTCCAGGCAAGAATAAGGCATGATGAGCTCCATTACCAACTTTTACATAGTTGATAACACTATCCTTGATTTTAATTTGTTCTTCCTGCAATTTAAAGTTCACTAGGTACTGACATTTATGCTGAATAATTTCAAAATTTCATTATATTATGCGAAATAAAAATACAAATCTTTCAGGGAAAATCATCAACGATGATATATTATAATCTCAATAAGTTAGAGTCTAACTTTAGACTTTAGGTACAAAAAGTCCAGGATCCAGAGGAAATAAAGGTCAAAATGCATTTATGTATATTCCTGTTACTAACCTTAGCGACTACAGATGTAGAGAGAGTCCGGCAAATAGTTTTACTTAAATAAGATAGAGGTGAAATGATTTTTCTCACTGTTATTAATAACATTTTAACCTCGTCCGATCACAATTACGTACAGTTGTCTCGATTTTTGAGACAGATAGATCTATTTTTAGATTTTTATCTGTTTATTATGCTAGTAGACACATTATTATAAAGTTGTCTTATCAGAACAAATCCATGAACAATAATAATTAACGTTAAATTCACCTTCAAAATCTTTGAAAGAAAAATGTTTATTTTGTTATCAGCACGAGTTTTCTTTTTGTGACGTTTGACAGCAGGATGGAAATATCTATCTTCTTAAAGCTAGACAGAGATAGACATAGTGAGGGTTGCTAGTTTTTAATTCTTTTATCATAAAATTCCGTTTTATGCTATGTCAAAATTAATGTTTCCTAGTCTTTATAAAGATATTGTAAGGAGGATGGTTAACACTTCAGCTGTATGAAGGAAGTTCCTGCCTATAAATCTCCACTGCTGAGCAAAGCCATGGAGAAAGTTGGAACATTAATCACCACGATTGCTCAATGCGGGTCGGCGTATTATCAATTAGAAATTATAAGCCCAGTTTTGCTCACGATGATTTCCTTCACAGTTTGTCAATGGTGTCTAAATAATCTTAAATAGTACATATAACTGAAAAAGTCGCAGTGGTACTGGCCGTTAGTACTTAGGTTTCGATTTCAAACCCGCGCTCTTATGCATGGAAACCGAGGGCCACCACAACCAATTAATCCCCTAGTGGTCACCAATCAATGGCAATAGGCTCACCCCCTATTACATGGGACTCATAACATAAATAGTGAAAAGTGGGTGTTACATTGTACAGTGGCATTAAGTGCCGAAATGTGCACCTCTGCCTACCTCTTCGGGGATAAAAAGGCGTGATGTTATGTTGTTATGGTCACCAATCACCGCTCTCCACTAACTCCATTATAGACCTTATTTCCGATAACTAGAGACTACTTTTGTATGAAAAAGTTTTGGGGATTGATATCAGGTATAAACAATACATAAACAAATATTTACAAAAATAAAAAATTACAATTGAGCGGTTCAAGCTAATTTCGACCAACATCGGCCCTACAGCTTAAGGTCCACTACGTCCACTGCGTTTGGTACAGTAAGCGTGTAATATGGATTACGGATCGAGCCTTACAACTATAAAGGTGGCCAGGCCACAAACGCTAGGGTTTGCATGATTTATTTATTAAAGCTTCATGCACAAAGTGTAGGTACACAAGGTGGACTTTCTGACATTGTCCCAGTCTGACCTTTGGATGACACAGAGAAGAGTGAATGGTAGGAGCAAGAATCAAGCAACGATTTAATTGAGAAATTAGAAGGTTAAACTAACATTTCAGATATGAACACAAATAAATACAATAATAATATATATACCTACACACGAGTACAATACAATATACATACATAGACTCATCTTCTAGGTACTATATAAAAATAAGTCGGGTTTTCCTTCCTGACGCTATAACTCCAGAACGCACGAACCGATTTCCACGGTTTTACATTCGTTGCAAAGGTCTCGGGCTCCGTGAGGTTTATTATAATTACATGCTCTGTGAGGTTTATAGCAAAGAAAAATCATTAATTAAGTACTAAACGAAATGTTTCATAAAACGAACCCATCTGGTGGCGAAACTATTTATATATGAACATAATTACTAATACTCTGTAAATAATTAGCGTGATGATTCAGCCAACCTCTTAAACAGAAGCTCATGTAGGTACTTTCTGCCTAAATGTTAGACGTGTCGACACCATCCTGACATCCAGGGGGAGCGCATTCCACAGCAAAATTGCCTGTACGAAAAAGGAAGAATGAAAGAAGTCAGTGCGATGAGTGGGACATTGGAGAAGATGGTTATGGGAAGAACGAAGGTTTTTACTGTGGTTTGCGCACAAGTATTGAATGTAAGGGGATAGATAGCGCACTTTGCTCCCTGCGCTGGCGTATAGGCAGCCACTTTAGTTGCAGCCGATGTGCAGAAACATGCGATGTCATGTCAAGCCTGTCATAGCAATCCCCAGCGTGTATGTGATTAAACTGTACAGTTATCGGTGCATGTGCATGCAAAACCTAACGTGTATGTGTATGAATCTCGGTTATGCTTGTGCTAGCGTGTGTGGCCTACAAGTTTATTTTTTTAGTGTAAACATTTTTTTAGGATAAAAAGTAACTAGCGAGATTTCCCAGGATATTCAGCCTTTGACTGGCATTAGAAACCTGTTGAAGACAAATCCTCCGCTAACGTCCGTCGGTCATCGATGACCCCCATGGCGTTTAACGTGTATACATAATCATACCAAGTTTCATCGTAATCAGACTATAGCTGTTAGACGATAAGTATAAAAAGTCCAGGATCCAGGGAAAACAAAAGTCAAAATGTATTTATGTATACTCCTGTTACTAACCTCTGACTAGTATATAGTAATCTGTGTTACTAACCATAATGACTACAGATGTAGAGAGTCCGGCAAATGGTTTTACTTAAATAAGATAGAGGTGAAATGATTTTTCTCACTGTTATTAATATTTTAACCTCTTCCACAGTTACGTACAGTAGTCTCAATTTATAAGACGGATCTAGAACTAATTTTAGATTTTTATCTGTTCATTATGCTAGTAAAGGTACATTATTATAAAGGTGTCCTATGAGAACAAATTAAATTAATCTTCAAAATTTTTGAAAGAAAATAATGTTTATTTTGATAAAAATCTGTATTATGCTATTATTCGAAATTAAATTAATTTTGTAAAAAAAATATTATATTATCACTTTTTATTGATGTTTTAACGTTTTCTGTTTAATTTCAGGTCAATATACTACACCCTAGAAACTAGTAACTAATAACAAACAGTGGAAATATTTGCATTTCAAAAAACTTACTAACTTGTTATTCATTAGAACAAGTTAACCGCCTAGAGAAATTAAATACCATTATGTTGTGAACTTATGTTCAAGACATATGCGCTGGGACGGAGTCGCTTCCTTCTGTGAACAAGTCATGTTGGCAAAAGGAAGCAGCTGAAAGGGAGAGAGAGGCGTTAAGTTCTCTCCCCTCTCGCCGTAGACGCGCCGGTCGTCAGCGCCGTGAAGCGGCAGCCGATCTGCGACCTCTATGAGAGGAGAGGCATGCGGGCGACTGACCGGGGGAGTCAGACGTCCGCTATATAGGCGGGAGTAGGCGGTAGCGTAGTGTTCCACGCGCGCTACTCGAAGAAGGAAAGCAGCCTCCTAGGGCCGCTAAGGTGGCGGGACCTGCCGCAAACATAGCGGTGGTCGAGGCCTGCCGGATGTGGTGATTCCGTAAGGGCAACCCGGGTCACGGTCACAGGCAGTGAAGGAACACCGCGGTGGTTTTAGCCGGTAAGAGTCCGGCACGCCCCCTCGTCGTCCCCACGACGCGGGAAGTCCATGATTTCCATCGCGATAGAAAAAAAAAGACATATGCGCTATTTGCCACTTTATCTGATCCATAATCTGCAGTGGATTCGTCACACATCGCTATTTGACAGACGTGGAATACAACAATAAAATTGTTCTTTCATCCGAATTAATAATAAATATGTAGCCTATACGAAAATATAAAAAGAGGCACAGGACTGATACCAGTATATCTTCCATAAGCAACAAGGATTGCATATTTAGGGCGGTAATGAAGAGATAAAAATAATACAAAATAATGGTATTAAATTTTTATTATCAGTGTGACGCTCAAGACACCCTAGCAAATAAACTAGTATTTTAATGTTAAAAGCAAAGACGGTTCCTTAAATTAAATTAATCTTCCATTGATACAAATTGTTGTGACGGTGTTTAACCCTGCAGATATACATGACATAATATAAACTGACCATACACAATCTAATGATTGTTATAAAGTAATACTTAAATAACCATTTCACTGGATGAATAAACTAAAATAGTAACAGAGTGACAGATCACAACGCATGTATTTGCAGTGAAGATGCATAAATGAAATTAAAATTATACTGTTTCATATCTTATCAAGTAAAATTTTAGAGTAATAAAGGCATAAGAGATGTTCTCTGTGACATGTTAGTTCCACACTTCGACGTACACCTCAATGGTACACCGACATACATGCATCTCAAGCATTCTATAATAATAATATGTCAAAGATTGATCTCAGCACATTTGAACTATTCGTATTATAGTAAAAATATGTATTTTTGGGATTATAATCGCAAATTCGAACAATACAATTAGCACCACAGTGGCTCCATTAGTAACAATTCATTCTAGGCAGTGCTACCTTTACACAAGACGGGAATTTAGTGGCAAAGGATGTACGCACTCAGACAGGCCTTCATGATGTGATATCATGTTTGGGTGTATTAAATTCAGTCATGTGCGGTACTGAGATCGCCGTGGAGCTTACTCCTAACATAACACCATAACATAGGAATTAAATTACATAAATGTTACGTTAGTTGTAAGTGTAATGTAGCTTGATGACTTATTTATTATAGTTCTCCGGCGTGACACGCATCTTCGTAGCTCCTGCCCTTTTCTTCGGGATCCAATTTGATCATGTCGTCGATACGGAGAATCGTGATTGCGGCTTCTGTCGCGAACTTGAGAGATTTCACCTTGGAGATGGCTGGCTCAAGGACTCCTGCAGCTAAGTTATCACGCAACACACCTTCTGTCAGGTCTAGACCTACCCATTTCAGGTTGGCATGTTCAACCTGGAATGATTAGAAATTCAGTTAACGATTTAAATACACAAAAATACGCAGTTAGTAAGTAACCTCTAGTTTGTATGATAATAAATTATACCTTAGTTTGTGAAGAGTTGTGATAGGCGCGCAGCTTAGCAACAAGATCTGTAGCATCTCGCGCGGCGTTTACGGCTAGCGTCTTCGGGATGACAAGCAACGACTGCGCGAAGGCGGCAATCGCTAACTGCTCGCGGGAGCTCTGTGACATGTAAAATGGTTTTTTAGTCTTTATTTTAGCAATAAAGTAAATTGACTAATGTTGTAAACTAAAACTAATAAACTAATGTTGATATTATATTCTTTAATTGATTTGTGTATACATTAGATTCATTTTCAATTAAAAAAAGTAGTGTGTTATACCAGTGTGGTGGCGAAATTCTCCAAGTAGATGGAGAGCGCAGCCTCGACGGCGCCGCCGCCGGGCACGAGCCGCCCTGACTCCAGCACGCGGCGCACTGCGCACAGCGCGTCGTGGGCGGAGCGCTCCATCTCGTCACAATACGCGTCCGTCGGCCCGCGGAGGATTATTGACGCAGCCGTGCGCGCTGCTGGGCTGGAGAATACACATATGTTGTTAGTTGACAGTTTTATGGATACCACAATCAATTACTTTTTTTTATTTAGTGAAGAAATGAAATTATTATGATAAATAATATGGTAGACAATACGATGCGACGTTTTGTCTACCATATTATTCTTACATGTCTGGAAGTTTAATCATCATTGTTCTAATTTATTTTAATAATTAAGTAGTAAAAATGAACTATATCTAGTGTGTTCTTACCCCTTAATAAGAATAAGTTGGTCATCACAGATCTGTTCTTGTACAACTTCAGCAGCCTCTCCAATCATGCTGGGCTCAAATACTTCTTCACCCTCCATGTTTGTGAGGGATGTGAGGAAGGCAGCTCCGGTCGCCTTAGCGATACGTTTGAGATCAGCCTTCTTGCACCTTCGCACGCCCATGGCGCCATTCTCCACGAAGTACTTAAGACACAGGTCATCAATACCGCCCGAGCACAATATAACGTTGACGCCGGTCGCCAGGATCTTTTGCAGACGCTCTTTGGTGATGTCCAGCTCACGAGCGCGAATGGCTTCCAGTTTTTCGGGATCGGTAACAAGGACCTGTAATTATTAGTCAGAATGTAAGTTATGTAGAAAACAACGAAAATGGTGCAAGATAGTAACTGATTGGTATCCAAGGAACAGTAAACACAGTAGAAAGCAGTTAAAAAAGATAGGAGGACGAACTAAGACTAACAGCGTGTTCCAACTGGTTAAGAGGGGCCCGTTACAGAATTCAATGGAGACAGCAAGAGGAGCCTTTGCCAAAAGGCACACTGAATTAAGAGATATACTGTGTAACCTTTTAGTTACAACTCTTAATAAAGGGGTTTATTATAAGTTATGGACATTAACAAGTAAGCTAAAATATTGTTATAACTGTCACAGTTATTCAATTATTTCTTTTTTTCATTACATTGTTTCACAAAAAAATAATAAATCGTACCTGAACTCCAAGCTTCATCTTAGTCTTCTGGAGTGAGAAGTCGAGGCATGCAATCTTTGCATTTAAAATCTTCTTGGGCATAGCCTGGGAGGCCACAGTGCAGTTGAGAGCATAACCCTTAACCAGGACACTCTCCCGGGCGCTGCGTCCATGGGCCTTCAAGATGTTAACAGCCTTGATTGGGTATGAGGGGTTTCCTTTGTAATCTGTAACCTTGATAGCTTGTGCAGCATCCACTACCATTTCAGAGAAGAAATCGGCATCACTGAGGTATAGATGTTAAGAAAATATTTAAATATATGATGAATAGCTTATTTGTGATAAGCCATGGCTTTATAATGATTATCAGTGAATCACATTATCTACATTTTATTGTACAGTCATTTGAGGAATGACTTTTGCAAAATTACATGATTTTGACAAACAGAATGTTGTAATGTTGCATCAATGATAAAATATTATTGAAAAGGATACGCTCCAATAAGTTTTGAAGACATGGTGGTCTTGGCAGCATTGACGATAGAGGCTCTGCCTAGAGACTCCACAGTGACTGTAAGGTTGTCCTGCACATACTTGACAGCCTCTTTGCATGCTAGTCGGTAACCAGAGATAATACTTGTGGGGTGAATTTTGTTCTTCACTAGCTCATCTGCACTCTAAAATAATTAAAAAATAATTGTATCATCATAATAGTTTTTATTTCAAAATTATAATAAAACTGCCTTCATTGTTATAATTGGAATAATAAATTTTTTTAGTACATAATCATTTTTACAAATGAATTAGTTATTTATGTATTGCTATGGTAACTTGGTAACAATAGAAAACATTGAAATGAAAAAAAAAGAATAGAATAATTATATGAATCTTTCCAGTATGTTTTACAGCAAATTAGAAAAACATTAATAGTTCTAATAAGTGTTTACCTTGAGTAACTCAGCAGCGATAATAACAACAGATGTGGTACCGTCTCCGACTTCTTCATCCTGCAGCTGTGCCAGCTCTACCAGCACTTTAGCAGCAGGGTGCTCCACTTCCAACATCCTAAAATAGACAATGAATACTTTAACAACCACGGTACCTAGCACTTGAGTTTTAACATAAATAAATAGTTTCAATATTAAATAAATTAATAAAGCTACTATTAACTCGTCAAGTACCGTATTTATAGACACAATTAAAGAATAATAGGTAGCGTGTGTTTGACAGTTTAAATTGAAAAAAAAAAACATCTCAATGCTAGTTTTTATAAATACTACTACAAAAAAACTAGCCTATTAGGTATTTTACAGAGGAATATGGTATTTCACCTATAACCATTACTGTCCACATTCTAATACAAGAATAAAGTAGAAAAATCTTTTAATGATTTGGTAACAGACTTTAGAATTTAACTATGGGTTTTATGAAATGATTTTTTTTATTACAGGAATCAAAATTAACTTACTTGAGGATAGTAGCTCCATCATTAGTGACAGTTACATCTCCAATGTCATCTACCAGCATTTTATCAAGGCCCACAGGGCCCAGCGAACTCTTCACTATGTTGGCAATAGCTGCCGCTGCCATTACTGTGAATCATTCCACCATCATGAGCATTTTTATTGTCTCCCACTCAATTTTACATAGGTTATAACAAAAAAATAACTAAAATCATTCAAACTTAAGCTCAAACACAAGTTTATAGGGTTTACAAGCAGATTATAAACGCTTTTCAGCGCAGTTGGCTTGCATTTTTGAGGTATTGGCCAAAATGTAACCATAAGTCGCGATGCATGTGATCTACCGGAGCACAAAAACCTCATGTGAATCAACATGAAATAACATATAAACTGTACCATTTTGAGTTCTGACCGACGACCCTGATGATCTGGTCCCTGCGACGGACAAAGCTGTTGCAACTGTCGACATTTTTAATAGAAATTTAACACAAAAATCATAAAATAATCGCCCGTCACACTTTTTTGATTCTGGAAGAATACAATGTTGCCAACTGCAAAAAACCTATGACAAATGACAATTCATTCTAAATTGCCAGTATGAAATATTATTAACAAACATTTTTTTCTTTGTAAACGATTGTAAATATTTGAAACAAAATCAATATAATAATATAATTATATATTTTGTATAATATTTGAATGATTGTGGTTTATTATTTTGCTTTATAATTTTATAGTTATTTATGACAATAATTGGTATTTATATATGATTTTAGATTTTGAATAGGTTGCAGACTAAATGACGATGCCCTGACCCTGAATAATGCGATCGTCTGGTGGTTAGCGTTTACGGGACTTAAATTTTACATAGAATGACTGCATCCATAGCTAGCTAAAATAATGCGTTTCTGTTTAGACCTAATGTCTTTTTAATATGCCTACCTAAAACACAATCATTCACCAAGAGATACGCAACGTATTGCACAGTTGTATATTTGCAGTCAGTCAGATTCAGCCTACTGTGTCAGTCGTGTAATGAACAGATTTGTATTATAATAATCAGTACTTTACCTAATTATTAATTCTAACAACATAAAAAGTAATAAAACACATTTACCAAAAAAGTATGTGCAGAAGAGTAGTTCGATTTTCCGTTCGCTAGTCTCGTTGAAACTCGAGAACGGCTGAACCGATTTGGCTTATTTTGATCTTGAAATATTCATGGAAACCTTCCATGGGGTTTAAAAGGTGAAAAATTTGTCGTAGTCGTGTAGCCGTGAGTATAAATATTAATTTGATTTAAATAGAACTCAACGAATAAGTGAACCTGCAAGTTGCAACTTTGCCAAGTGATTCATAAGTTACAAATGTATTAAAAAAAAAACAAACACGATACCGAAAATATCACAAGGAAAACGAAAACCTAAGGAACGACACAGATTTACGAGCTAAAAAAATATGAGTTAAGTTTCATAGGGTACGCGGCGTAGGGCTGACATTTGATACATTTATCACGTACGATTCAGTAAAAGGGTACATCTAGGGTTACGTGACTAGAGCGGACGGGACGACCTCCGCGGGAATTGGGAAAAGCACTCGTGATAGGTACTACGTGACGAAGTTTTCGCGTGCTTAAAATAACTTCCCTATGTCTGAAGCAAATTGAGGACTGCATGCTCTACCTATACGGTTCTATCTGTTTTTCTTTAAAAACACGCTTGTATATTTTAGAAGAAGACGTTGTATTACCTACTTTTGAAGGATGGAGTACTTATTTAGAATTGTACACGCCATATATCTACATATTGACTGTGTAACTATTTATTATAGGTAATGTTTATATTACTGCCTCGTTGGCCGTGTGTGACTGCCGGGCAAGGGGGCTCGGGATCGATTACCGGGACGGGCAAACTATTACTGGGTTTTAAAAAAAATTCACAGTAGTAGCACGAAATCTGGAATTGTGCCCGGTATATGGCAATAGGCTCACCCCCTATTACATGGGACTCATAACATATATAGTGAAAAGTGGGTGTTATATTGTACAGTGGCATAATGTGCACCTCTGCCTACCCCTTCGGGGATAAAAGGCGTGATGTTATATTTTATTTATATATACTCCATGAAAAAGTACACCCTATGCCAGTCTTTTGACTTTTGCTGCTGCAATTCTTTATTTTTTAGTCTATATTTTTGCTTATGTTATACAGAAAGTGCTCCAGTTTTACGAAATTATAAATTCTGGGCCAATTACTGTATCTCTATAAGTCACCCTAGAGGTATATGCCACCATTACACGACATAACCCTATTACATGATAGCAATTTCAATACAACCTGATCAAATAATCAAAGACAGAGGTCCCTGAGATCAGCAATGCGCTTGTGGAGTGTGATCACGATCCATTTCGACCTCCGTCAGCGGGTGGGCGCAGTAAATTAACGGACTTGGAGGATAGACGGCATAATTAGTTTCCCGACGTGATACTATTTTCAAACTACTTTTTAAACACCTACGTACCAATTTGATTGATTGATTTTGGTTATATTAAGAAATTGTCTTTTTTAACAACACAATATAGAGTGGGTGTGGGTATTTTCAATATTCGGGTAATTATTTTATGAATTCTATGTCACAATTTCTAACTTTGTGGTAAGAATCTCCGAAAACTGAAAAAATCCTATTACAAAAATCCCAGTCGATCTAGTGTTGGTGGTCCATCGTGCTTCTACCTGTCCCTTCGGGCAGTAAAAGGCGTGATGTTACACATAAAAAATATTGCCAATAATATTATTTAATAACAATAAACTAATAGTTATATGTATTTTCTCCATCGAAACCAGTGGCTTAGTGCCCTGTTGATATCCTGCTACGCCGTAGTAATTCCGCTACGACAGCTACGAGCGAAACGAGTTATCGTAGACGGTTTAAAAAGTCATGTTTTTTACGTGGATTTAAGCTCACAGCCACGTCAAGTGTGACCTTGAAAGTTCTGTATTTCGTAAGTAGTAAGGGTGAGTTTCGTAGTCAAACTACTAGAGTGAGCTTAATAGTCGTAAGTTTTCCAGTTTAAATGTGCTTTGTAATTTCTAACTTATTCGTCAATTATAATATAATAATAGTATAATATCTTAAATCATTAAGCAATTTTGCAAAGTTTTTAGTGTATATACAACAGTGTTATTTTTGACATCTGACGTCGCAACAATAACGGGAAAATACGAATTCTGTTAGTTACAGAATTCGTATTACCGTATACCATAACCCTTTATGTAGCATTAATCCAGTTTAGCAGTTTTCTCTATCTATAAAGATGTTGTTTACGTTTCAGCCGGCTTTCAAATCCGCACGATGTCCATTGCAATTCATGTCAAGCGACGTGAATAAAAGCTGACAATATCTTAGAGAACTTTAGCCGACGTTCATTGGAATGCTCCGCAGCGCGTACCGTATCTATACGAGAGAATAATCTCGTTTTCTGCGGCTTTTAACGAAAGCCCGATACGGAGTCGCAGAGCAAAACAAATAGCGGGTAGCTGTGCACATGCGCCGGGAGCACGCACGCACGCGCTTCCGAGCGTCGCGGCAGTCGCGCGCCGCCCGTCGCCGCGTCCGCACTCCGTGCGAACTGTGTCTACCGCGCTCCCACCACGCGCTAAATGGCGCCCAAACCGGGACCTCACTCTCGCGGGTAAGTTCCTTACATCGTCATATCTTTTTATGAAGGAAATAGTATTCGTCCTTGAGATGACAAGTGGTCCATGACGCAGCATCCGCGAGGATCTCTGAGGGCGTGGTAGGGCATCGACTGGGGAGGGGGCACGGAGTCGGCGTGTTGGCGATAGCGCGCCGCCTGATAACGTTGCAGCCCTCCCACTGTCAACAAACCCTTACATTATATAAAACATTGGACATTTATAAATGACTGTAAAAACGAGTGGTAGCGGAGAGTCATCTCGAAGACGTGTATCTATTGATTTTCGCTTCGCGTTCCGGAGACTCTGCGGCTGTAGTTGCCTGAGACACAATTAGATATATTGTCGCAGCCTCTTTAACATTCTACTGCGGAACTTATCGTTTAACAAGTGAATTAGCGGCTCTCGTCACAGCCACTTCCGAGATACACAGCGGTTTCGAACAATTACTCATGTCAACGTGCTCTTAGCGGATACATCCGAAATAGCGAATTATACTTTCAAGGCACGTATCGAATCTTTAGTGGATAATGCTGCATAATACCTCATGTAAACAGTAATTTACATAACCTTGAGCTTCCTATGGAGAGTGATGATGTAGATACGAGTACGTATGAGTAGTTGTAGATTTCCTTGAATGTTAATGTTTTAGCGAGTAATTCTTTGGTCATAGCGATATTTCTGCGCAGAATATATCTGTGTACTTATTCATAGAAGGCTCTTGAGACGATGAAGTGTGATTTTATAGGTTCAAGTGCCTTGTTACACATGAGGACTATGGAATGATTGTTGTTAATAAATAATGGATAAGCACTGAAATTGGTAAATATAATTATCTAAAAGAGGAAATACATGTTGTAATACTAGAGTTGTTGTATAGATTTAAGTAAGTACCACGTTCACCCTCAATACTTGTGAATTGGGATAAGGACAAAATGAGGATGATATATGACAATTTATTTGGTCTATAAAAGTAACCGATGGTTATTTACGACATCCTAAAGTGGGACATGTTGGCTCAAAGGTTGGGATACACTTTAGTAAACAAAGTTTCGGGTTTGAACCTTGAACATTAAGAAATAGTATTAAGATTTAAATATGTTATAAGTCTTCAAATAATTCTTATCTATTGCATCTAAACTTTGCAAAGAAATCTACATAATTTAAATTCATAATATCTTATTTTAGTACCTACTCGATAAAAAAAAAAACGCTGAATCTTTTTTAAATCTCAAAAAAACCTCAAAGTAAGTATGTAGATACCTACCAGCTAGAGAGATATGAATTCGGACACAAATCCGAGAACAAATTCAACGAACATTCTGGTTTCATAAAGAAATTCTTAGGATTGTTTGCTAGAAGTTATCTATATAATTCGGAGCTCGCGACGTAGTCTAGAGAAGTCGAGGAGTTATGTAGAAGGTACGATGGTATATAAGTACAAGTATATAATGTTATATACAAGTACATAAGGAGGTACAGCTTAGTGAAGGAATTCCGAACGCCTGAACATTAGTGCAGTGTTAGATCACCGTCAAAGGCATGCCGAGTATTTTCGACTATAGCTCGTACAGTGTAGCTTTGAAGATTACTTACTCACTGCTTAATAGCGTTATTTTAAGCCTTGCTGTTTATATTACCTAACTTTAGAGGCGATATCATGACATGTAAGGTGTACAGCTATAGTATCTTATTTATTGTTAGTTGTGTTGTGACTGCCTCGTTGGCCGAGTGGTCGCAAGTGCGACTGCTTTGCAAGGTGTCTCGGGTTCGA